CTTGTAATGCTTCTTTTGATCCCTGATGGGAGGAAATTCCAATTGTTACTGCCATCCAGCCCCCCCCCCCCCGTAAGCACCTATTACAAAGTATGATGATCTTCTGTAAACTGCCATAAGCTGCAGAATTTCAATATTACAAAGAAAGACGCATTTATGTAAGCTGAATTCCCCTATAGTCTGTGTTTACAGCTTTATACATTGTAAAATATTTGGCAATGAGCCATTACATGCAATTTGTCAGACCTCCAGCTGGAATGGATAGGGCTGATTCTCTGGATTATTAGTAATGCTTTCTTCACAAAGAGAAGTTCCCAAATCCTACCTCTAACATCTCTGCAGGTGTAGTTTTACAGACCCTGTTAATTACCAATGTGAAATATGCTTCAAGTCTATTTTACTTCCTCACTGTCATGGCAATCATGGAGCTGTTACACTGACATAGAACAAACTCCTCAGGAAACCTGATATTCCAACTTGTTCAATCAGAGCACTAGAAGCCCATTTTCCTTTCGTAAGATGAATGTAATATCTCTGTAACATTTTCCCACATATTCCTCTGAGCAAGATGATGCAGCAGAAGCTTCTTGAGAAACCATTATACCTAGAAAAGTTCACAGCACTTCTAGTCACTCATTCCAAACCAGCACAGCCAGCAATGCTTAGAGACCCGTTTGCACATTGCCACCTCTCAGCTTTGTGTAGACAAGCCTTTTGCCCTGTACACCATGCAAAATATCTGCAAGAACAGATTCAAACCCAAGTAATGTGAGGAGCAATACACTGCAAGGCCCCAATTGGCTTGTATGTAACAGGGCACTCAAATGGCCAACACAAGCCAATCTAATGCTACCTTTCCTTGAGAAGCAACAGGAAAATTCTGAATAACTGCCCTTGCACTGACTGGGAGAAGTTCATCCCCTGCACGACCCAAGCAAGGGCACACGCCTGAGTTAGGGTGAGGTGTGCCTGGGACAGAACTGCAGCACACCACAAAGGCTGCAATGACAGTGAGCAGCCTTCTATCAGATGCCCTCAGCAGTAAGTTGCATCACATCTATCAAGAGAAAAAGGTTAATTTAAAGGTAATCCACTTAGCTACCAATGTGGTAACAAATATGTCCTTGTAGCTCAGATGGTCTCATTAGATCCAACTACCCCAGTGGCCTTGCTCAGCCACGGGTACAACAATACCATTCCAGTTTCACGAGCAGGGCAAATTTGAAGAGCCACAGGGAAACCGCATGCCTCCTGCTCTGTTAAACATGAGAATCATGTTGATGCAGAAAATTTCCAAATCTTCCTCTTACTTTTAACTTTTCCTCATTATTAAGTGTGGGCAAGCTACACCAGATATCTCTCCAAGGACAGTTTCACCGAGAACTCTGTGAGAGCTATTACTCGGTAGTGAACAGATAGACTCTATCCTGTTGTATCTGCCCAACACCACAGGCAACTCAAGAGCTAAGAGACCCGAGGAAGGGCAACACTGCAGGAAGAGCTAAGAGACCTGGGGGGCAACACTGCAGGAAGAAGTTTGTTTACCTGTGTGAGCGACAAGGAGAAATGCAGCCTGTGCTGTCAAACACAGTCACCCCCTGTCACCTTCACACAGGCGAGCTTCTTTTAGCCCAGCTATTCCCACGCTATAGCACGCTGAAGTTCCTCTCCCATAAATAAGCTCCACACACACCAGTGGCAACACAGAGACAGTTCAGATGCTGATAAATCCAGATTGAACTTGGGAGCAAAAGAGTTTGGCCTGAAATTATTAATATTTTAATGTGCTGGATAAATGAATGGAGTAGCAATCACAGTTCACAAAAATTACTTCTTTTTGGCTTTTTCTTTCTTTAAATCGAACTTAACTACTTGGCTCACTGGAATCTTTCCCAGGAAATGAGTACCTTTTGAAAAAGGGGATGCATGACAACTTAGGAAAACATCCTCAAATAGAGTTCAATTTGTCTCCATTATTCTCTTTTCATAAACCCAGCTAAAACATCTGAAAAAATTCAAGTTGTGTAACAGCTAGATACAGTTTTGTACGATCACCCCAACAGTGAGGGACTTCTCCAAATGCAACACATCAGCAACTGCACTTCTTGAGATCTTGGGTGACAGTAACTGCAGGGCCTCCAAGGGCTTCCAAACAGTACAAGATAGAGAGCAGTTTGAATCAAAATACTCTGAAAACACCTTGGATACTTAAGGAGGAAGGGAAAACATAAAAAAGAAGAAAAAAAGGAAAAAAAAAAAAAAAAGAAAATAAAAAAGGCATGGAGACCTCCCACAGAACCAGAAGATGACAAAGGGAACAAACCAAATTTAGCCAGGGGAAACTGGTTATCAAATGCAAACATTTCATAAATTAAGATACAGTTAAGTGCTTATACAGCCCTTTCCAGAACAATATTTTAAAACTGGATAGCCATTAGGAAAATAAGAGAAAGGCATTAACCTCATTCATAGGTGGAAGATAGAGACTGGGAAAACTGAAATGATTTGATGGAAGCCATTCATTGCAAATAGCCCCGCAGAAAACCAGATCTTGGAGATTAAAGCCTGGATCATGAGGCCATATTTCTACTTCCTCCATGAAGTCCTGCTTTTTCTTTGCTCAAGTTTTATAAGCACCGGTGGCAGCATTTTTCAGTTTGCAGCTCTCAAATCTGCACATTCTATTTGAAGCCTCCACCATTAAATGTGGTTAGAAACTGCAATTTTGACCTTGCAGCTGCATAACACAGGCACACCAATAATAATGCCCAATTTCACACAAGAAGTGGTCACACCCTGGGAGCAGGTGCTCCAGGTCCTACAAAAGCATTTGCCAACTCTGAAGTGTAAGTCACCATCCGTACAAGAACCGAGGTTTTCACAGAATAAACACTAATAAAGTTACGGTTTATTTTTATACAGTCTGGCAGTGATTGCATTTCAGCTGATAAAGGTATCAGCAAAATCATACATATTTTCTATGCTTTCCTTTCAAAAGACCAAAGATGGTTTTAGCACCATTTGCCTCTCTTCCACCAAGGTGTCCAACACACAGGGACTTCCCAGTCCCATCTAAAGCACAGTGAGGAGACAGGGAGATGCAGTTCTCATCCTACATCCAAACTGAGATAAGCATAATCCCTTCCAATTGTTCACACAACTACACTTTTTGTTTTGGTAAACACAGACCAAGCTCTCATTTTCTCCTTCAGTTCACTATACTATAAGAGCTGCACAACTTTTACAATTAAAACAGAGAAATCAAGAGTATATCAGGGCCAGACAATTGTATAAAGTAGGTTTGACACAATCAGAGCTAATGCAGTGCAAGACACAATTGTGTCAGACAACACAAAAATGGACAGAGCCAGAAAAACAAATTGGTGACAAATCAGTGAAAACATTTTTCCAAATCACCCTGCCCACCGAGAAAAACAAGGATTAAAAATGGAGTTATCCAAATGAGTTCATTTTAAACTATTTTGGCTGCCCTACATAAATAAAGCTTAGATACAAAGTTCATTACTAACTAGATCAAGTCTCTTTTGAGGGGAAGATTAAACTCCGAAGTGTCTGCGGAGACTTCTACTGCTTGCAGACACAGCTTGACACATAAAAAGGCAAACCCCTAAAAGATGCAAGTTTCAGTTTTCCCTGAAATGGCCACATCAAGATGAGGAGGTAGTAAAGAAAATTACAAATTAATTAGAAAGATAGCACATTATTGCAAAGCTGTAGCTTTTCCCAAGACAGTTTGCAGGATGCGAATTCTGACCCATTTTAAATGCTGATGACAGCATTTTAGAATTCTGATGACTGCATTTTAAAACCTTTACAAATACACAAAAGGCAGTGGGAGGGATAGAGAAGAACAGCTTAAATGTAAAGTGAAAGTTCAGCTTGCCTCCTAAGAGTCCAATACTGTAACTCCTATGTCCAGAGTCAATTCTGCTCACTGGGAAGGGTGTACAGATGGGGCTGTGCTCGCAGCTCTAGAACGGTTCATACCTGCAGCGTCCTACACAGACTCACTTTTATTCATGGATGGATTTTTCCAAATGTTTTTGCAACTACACGCATTGGATTCAGTGACAATCTGCAAGACTACTTGGATTAACTATTCTCTCTCTTAAGGCAGATTCCTGAAACGAATTCGAACACTTTCAATTAATAAACAGCAGAAGCTATACACGGCAGCTCCTTTGTTCTGAAGCCCCGTGTTGCCAGTGAGGGTTACGGAGCCTGCACAGGGCAGGGCGTGCTCCCCCGTCCCTGCAGGTATGCCGCTGGGACGGCTCACACCGCTAAGCACCTTCTGCCCAGGACAAAGCACACGTGTGAGCGCTCTCACAGGCACCTCTCGGGCACACCCGTTAGTTCCGCTGCCCCCTCTCGCGTATGCCCGGCCCAGCGTGGAGGCTGCGCTGACCCCCAAAGCCGGCACCGCTGCGGTACCAGCGGCCCCGGCGGACCCCCGCCCGCCCGAGCCTTTGTGTCCGTGCGGACGCGAACAAAGGCGGAGGGGCTCCTCGCCCGGGCGCGGCTCTGCGGGGCCCCGCGGCTCGCACCCACCTTCGAGAGCTGCCTGCGCAGGCTGAAGCGCTGCACCATGGTCCGCCGCGGGGCCGGGCAGCGCGGGGCCGGCAGCGCGGGGCGCGGCGGGCGAGGGGCGGCAGCCGGCGGCGCTCAGCGGGGGCTGCGCATTCTCGGCCGCCGGGGCCGGCACCGTGTCCTGGCCCAGCGCTGCCCCGAGGAGCCCGGCGCTGGGCCGGGCCGGGCCGTACAGGAAAGAACAGGACCGGGCAGGGTAGTGCGGGGCGCGGCGCGGCGCTCCCGCCTGCCGCTGCGGGAGGCGGGTACAGACACACCCGGCACCGCCCCGGCACCGCCCCGGCACCGCCCCGGCACCGCCCCGGCACCGCCCCGGCACCGCCCCGGCACCGCCCCGCCGCCGGCAAGGCCCGGCCCTGCGGGGCTCAGGCGAGCGCCGCGCCCGCCCCGGGGCCCCCCTGAAGGGCGAGCCCGTCCCAGCGCTCCCGCCGAGCCACACCGGACGCGGGCCCGCGCAGCTCCCGCTGCATTCGCACACTGTGGCACGAGAGTATCAGCTCAGAAGACCCCGTTGCAATCACTAGAAAATAATTCAAGAAAGTATTTCTCCCTCCCCGCCATAAATATGCAATAAACATGTGTGATAAAACAGGTACACTTGCAGTTCTTCAAATGCCGTGACAAGAGTGGCTTTCGGAGCCTGAAAGTGTTCTTCCTCCGCTCACAGCACTGGTGAGTGAGGGACACAGCCCAATCTTGCAGAACAGGGGATTGCAGGGTTCTAACCTCGCTTTGCAGCAATGCTCCGAGGGGCTGCAGGAGTCCAGCAGGCAGGACAGACACAGTGCCAGCCTGTGCGGTGCAGAGGGGGCAGCGCTCGGGCAGCTGCCAGGCTGTTCATACACGAAGGAGGTAAACCAAAAACCCCAAACACAATGAGGAGCTCAAAATCTCTGGAAACAAGCCTGTTTCTGAAGTAGTCCTGTCTCACCATTTTAGTTTTGGACTTCTTAGGATTTTATTTCCAAATCATTTTGTAATTGCCTCTTGCACGCAATAGAAAGGCTTCCTTTGTGCACTGCACTGAAATGGCCATGGCTTGATCACTCCAGTACACGGTGTTACCTACACAGAAAAATAGTTTCTCAGTAACTATCCACAAAACTACTGGATAAGGAACAGCTCCCATGCCAGCGCATGTCCCTGATGAGTCTTGACTCAGTATCAGTGCTGGATTATCCAGGACTGTGCGTCTCACTAGCACTCTCCTCAGACCTTAGCTTCACTGGGTACCAACTACTGGCACAGTGGCTAAAAGGGATCCCGTTGCATGCTTCAGCTAGGACAAATCTGGGGCTCCAGACTGCACAATATGTATGGTTATGGTGTGTACCTGGCTGTTAGGAGTCAGCTGTGCATTGACTCCATATAAAACCCCTCCCAATGGCAGGTACTAGGTAAGTACGGATTACTACCATGCATGATTGTATAGTCTTGTAAAAAAGGAAGGTATATTAGGCCAGAATATTTGCCTTGTTAAGGAAAATGTTTCTAGCCTATTTTTAAGGTCATCAGGTGATCTGGACACTAGAGATAGAAAAGACATTTGCAGTTGGGCCATGGTTATGAGAACAGTCAGTGTGGTTCCTTAAAAAGACCTTGAAGGGAAAGTTATAAGAAGATTAAACAGAGGTGTTTATTTTATAACTGTCATTCTAAAGTAACATCAATAGATGCATCCTTCAGCACTGAAATCCCAGCTGTGAAATGAGAGCAGGATTCAGTAGCATTCTGCCCAGTCAGGGGTAACTCAGAGGTATTGAATGCAGACATGTTCTGTACAGGGAAAGTATTCCCTGACAGAACTTGGACTCCTTTTCATAATGCTCTCCTTTTTTTGGAATATACAGAAAGTACACCACCCAGTTACCAGGCCTCAGTTTTGTGATGACCCTGGAGAGCTGACAGTACAGAAAAGAAAAAGGACTGGGACTCTAGAAGCACTTCCTTGTACTGGCAGAGAAGACACCAGATGCTATGGGGATTCTGCATCTAGCAGCTGCATCCTCCTCCTCCCTGAACTGGGTCAGTATTTCTTGTTCTGCAGTTTGGCTATATTCAGAAGCCTCATGCACACCGTTCAATGCCTCCTGCAGAAAATCCATACCACCACCTTGAACAGCTGTGCGCCAGGGAAAGCTCATGTGCCTACTGCTGCAGAGACCAAAAGGACAAGTGCGTGTGAGATGAGAATGAGAGCGTGAGTGTAAGAGTGAGTGAGATGGCGTGGGAGCGCGAGAGAGTGTGAGTGTGCGCACATACGCAGTCAGTCAGTGATGCGGTGTGGGAGTCCACCGTAGCACTGGAGTAAACACTGGAGCCTGGACAGCCAGCTGGTCACCTTATCTGCTGCACCCAAACCTCCCTGCTTCCATGCTGCCTGACAGCAGATACCAATGGCTCTGGGTAATCAGCCTCTCACCCGCAGGGCTGGGTGCCCAAGGTGCTGAGGACTACCCACCGTCCTGCACCTGGGACACAGAGAGGGCCTCATTTCCTCCACAGACACTCAGCTCTCCCTTCCCCAATAGGCTCCTGTGGCTCAGTCTGGGTCACAGAGATACAGATAAGGAACGGAGCCAGCTTGGCTGGGAAATAATCCACATCAGACGGAGATGGGACTGCCAGATTAGCAGAATTGATGGTAGCAACATTCTCCTTTGTCTCTGGAGCCAAGGCCTCACATTCAGCATTTCCAAACTGATGCTTACGATCTTCACAGTTAATTAATGGCTCCTGGTCTCAACATACCCCTTAGTCCCCTGTTGCTGGGCTATTGTCACTTCTTTTCCTAATATTACCTTCCTACAGCACTTATTTCCTGTGCAATAGCTTAATTGGTGAATTCTTCTGTTTTTATCCAGGAACATGATGGAGAAAAAGCAAGATTTCAGTAAAAGGCACCAAATTTTATTTTCAAATTTAAAATGAACTTGACATAATGAACTAGTGCCTCTGCCTGATACCCTTTCATGAGGACACAAAACACAATTAGAATTAATCTTTGGTACAAAATACCGTGTAAATAATTTTCTTTTTTAAAATGCTCAGTAAAGAAGATAATTATTTGTTTTAATATCCCTCTCATGGAGGTCTTCTACAGCTTTTTACTTGTATATCAAATACAGAGTTGTTAGCAGTTTTTAAAAAAATTATCTTTTAGAACCATATAAAGCTAGAAGAAATATGTATGTATAAATGCTACATCAATGCTTGACACATGTAAATGAACAGGAAGGGATCTTCCTGATAACCTCTTACAGAGGGACCTTTTAAGATAACCAACAGGAGAGACATTTTCTTATTGCAGAAGGTTTGAAAGATTAAAATTTCATATTTTGAAACCTACACGTTCTCAGGATAAACCCTTTCAAGTTATTTTATATGTATTTCAAAATAAAACACTTAAAGACGCCTCAGTGCTCTGGATTCACGGCAGTGAGCCCCAGTCTCAGCAGGTATGGGCTGCTGTAGGTCTTTCTGAGCTCCCCCCTCGTATCAGAGTCCCCCGCTCCACGGCGCGGCCCCGCGGCGCCCCCTGCGGGCCGGAGCGCCGCTGTGCGGCCCGAGCGCCCGGGAGCGCCCGGGCAGGGGCAGACCCGCCGCACCTGCGGCAAACACGGCACTACCGCCGCACCTGCACCTCTTCCTGTCACTGACCGGGGTGGCACTTCACAGACCATCTCCTTCCACCCTGCTGCTGTGGGCAGGGATACCTTCCACTAGCCCAGGTTACTCCAAGCCTCAGCTAACCTTACAATGAACACTTCCAGATTCGGGGTATATCAAAGCCCTTCACATTTAAAAATCACCAGAAACTCACATATTTAAAAGATGCCATGTACTCCTAAGAAAATTCTCAACAAGTTCACAAACTAAGTTGATTGAGAGGAAAAAGAAACCTACGTCCCCCACTGCAGCACAGGCTGCAGCCACCATCAGCACGACTTTGCCTTTCTCAGTCCCGAACACTGCTAACCCAGGCCTCCATGTCTGCTTTACGTTAGGCAGTCTTGCTTTGGGTAAAACTCACCTGTCCTGCCCACACTCAGCACTCACAGAAAGTGGGACACGGGCATAGCGTTGCACTGCTTAGAGTAAAAATTATTTCCGTTTTTTCAGGGACCATATTTCTGTTCCTGGCCAGCACCGGTTTGCTGCTCGAGTACAGCAGATTTCCACTTCTCACCAGGAAAGTCACAGCATTCCCATAGTTGTAAAATATTTGAACATGTCCCAGTAAAATATCCTTCCTTCCTGCACACCATTTGGAACTGAGAGATTAGATTAGCTCTTTTATTCAGGACTTCCACCTGCAAACTGCACAAGGCAGATAAACACACCCAGTGGTGCCACAACCCTGCCTAATCCTAACACCCTGGCAGAGTGTCATGGTACCACTCAACATCTCTCCTCCCTGCCGCCCGCTTCCTATATGGGTGGGCCACTGCAAAGCAAAAGCCCAGGTTTTATTATTTTAACATTAATTTCCAACTAAATTACACTTAAAATTTCTACATAACTGTTTCAGAAAGCACTCATGACAAGTTTGCAAAAAGGATGACAAATAAGATATATATCACAGTCAAATCTACAATTAGAAATAGCTTAAAATGTTTTGGAGTTGCCATGAAATTTGATACTAGCACCGTAACTATCATAGACAGTGTTGGTACAGTGAATCACAGGCAAACAAAGCATTTGTCACTTTGGTGATATCCCCGCAGTTAAACACCATGAGGATAAAGATGGTGCAGCCCCTTTCCCAATGGCTCAAAATCATGATTTTACTGAAATTGACCCCAATCCTAAGAGAGATTTGGGGATGATGTTGGATGGTATTCTACCGTGGAAGATGCAGACCAGTCAAAAGCATCGATGACACATCTGCAGTGGCTCTGCTACCTGCTGCAGCACGCACCTGTCTCCAGAGCTTGCTCTATCATGGCTGAATACGTCAGCAGAAGATGTAGCACTGAGTTTTAACAGCACTGCCTAGAGAAGGTTACATTTTTAGCCTTAGAATTGAGTAACCAAGTAACCTCCCAGGGAAGGACACTAGTTGTTGACAACTTGAAGTGATAACACCTCCACCCTGCCCAGAACAACAGCACGAACTGTAGGACCTGAGGAACACTGGAAGGGTGACTGTAAACGGAGAGGAGGGATTATAAAATAAGTGTGTGCATAACATTTTAACACCAATAATACTTTTCCTTCTGTAAAAAAATAGATCTGGACTAATAATGATGAGACCCTTCAGATTTCAGTTATACTGAAATTCTTGGCTCTTCCCATACAGAGTGTGTGTGTCTGTGTGTGTATCCTTTGCCCACAAGACTTTGAGCCTAATGCCCCTCTCTGCTGCACAAAGGTCACTGCTCCCAGAGAGGGAAAACAGTGCCAGCTGCAGAATGGGCTTCTGGGGCAATTAAGCAACCGAAGACTAATTTCTGAGCTTGTGAAATAACCCTTAGCCTACTCCTGACCTGTCTCAACTTGCAATTAAGCCACCCCAGTGATCTGCCAGTATCTTATCTTGCTGCAAGACACAAACAATGCAACCCTATCACCCTGCACTGCACAAACGCTGGGCTGGCTTTTCCACTGGGAGCAGAGTGGCCCAGGCACACGGGAGTCAGAGCTGCCCTGGACACAATGACACAACCCCGTTCAGATATGCTGGGAGCCTGAATCTGCAGCTCCAGGGGTCTACAGGGCCACTTTTAAGAAATAAGTAAATTCCTGCTGTCCTGAAATGCTCTTTGTGCACTGTCTATCAAGGTTCTTGTACACCTGGCTGTCAGGATAGCCCCTGCTTCACCCTCCCAAAAGAGTACAAGTTCTCCCTTCACAGGAACTGTGCAAGTTGGTGCTGGCTGAACATGATTCAACTGCAGATGCTGAAAGTGAAATAATTTTTAGCATTTCCAGTCCCTTACGGCCAAAACTACAAATATTTTACTTCAATCAGTTACAAAAAAAAAAAAAATTACCAAATGCTCACCACCAATGTAAGCTGAACTGGAGAGCCAACACTAGAGTATGGTGCTAAGATTGCTTGTTCTTTGGGGAAATGGGCTAAAGCCAAAGTCATCTTTTAGAGATCCAGGACATACTGTTCACAGCCACAGTAGACTTTCCACATGGTTGTAATGTTATAAAAAACTCTTATCTTCTCCTTTTTCACAGGTGGTTCTCCTAGGTGTATTGCATGGTGTTTAGGACAGAAGAATTTGCAAAAATTATCTGGCAAATAAGTTACCACTAAGACTATTTACAGCTGGAGAGAAACTTCATTCTTTCACAACTGTGCTACATATACTGAAAGGATGGCACCTTGCTGTCTTGTTTATGCTATCATGCAGTGTGCAGACCAGTGTGAACACTTGGAAGGAGTCACTGTAAGTAATTAAGAAAAGCAAGCTTATTGCTGGTAGGTTTGTGATACCCATAGGATCTACTCTATCTGGAAAATATTGATGCAGCTGCAAGTTGAAGACTGTAAACTTATGCCAAAAGTATATGCAGGAATTTTCTAAAATGTGGACATTAACAGAATATATATTTAAGTTGATAACCAAAACCCAAAGATATTTGAAATATTTATGAAAACTTATTGTCAAAACTGACAAGTGGATGAGGACATGTGAAGTTCTGTCAGGATACAGGAGGACTGAAGTGAGTGGAGCCTTGAAAAGCTGCTCTATGAGAATCCCACTGCAGGACAGTAAATCCTTTCTCTCATCATTCCTGCAGCCCTAAGACAAACAAATGGCAACCAGAAAATGTCTGGGCCTACGGAGGCAAAAAGCTGCAAATCCACCAAACGGCTTCATACTAAATTAATCCAAGTTGGTCTGTCTTCTCAGTGATGCCAGAAGGTGTCAGCCAAGGGCTTCCACCAAACATTCCAAACCAATTTCCTGTCCAGAATCCAGACTGAGTAACGCGACCTTACTACAGCCATGCTCCAACACCAACACTGGTGTCATGCCCAGGTGACAGCAAATCATACAGGGATCTTCATGGCAAAAATCACAGTGAGGTTCCACAAGGCCAGGTGCTGGGTCCTGCATGTGGGTCACAGGCATGGATAAAAGTTCATGTGGATACAACTGCTCACCAAAGTACCAATAATTTCATATCTCTCAAACATCAATATTGTTCTGGTCTTGACACATAATTAATTACCTCACAAAAAGCTCTGTAAGTACATGAGACCCAAATGAGATCCGTGCAGGCTCAGCCATTTTCAAACAACCACAATCCCAATTTTCTCAGCTCAGTGGGTTGCCTCTACAAGAAAAGATCTATGAAAAAATATTTAGATTGCTTGAAATAAAAGCCCAAGTGAAGTATCTCAGTAAGATTTTAATTATTAAACTTTCAATGCTATGACAATCTCATTTCTCAGCTTCTATACAAAGCCTAACAACATGTGGCAGGATTATTACACATGCAAATATATGTAAATGAGGTATTCAGAAAAATCTGATCTGTTGTTTTGGGATAACATTTGCCCTTCTATTTCAACAACAAACTAAAAAAACAGAGATGTAACAATACTGTGAACTAAAAACATTTTGTGTGCAGAGGATTATTAAGAATTTATTATCCTTTACACTACAAAATACTCAATGTCCTTCATTCCTAATGAAAGTGGAGGACACCTCAGCACCACAGAATCAGGCTCATCCAAAACTTATTATTCTGAATAACCATACAAACACAAGGTCAACCTATTAACAGGCAAAGTTACAACACCACCAGAGTTTTCCACCTTTACCTGAAAGGCACTATCACAGCCCTTGCTAAACTCTGACAGTTGCTCCAGGCTTAACCTCGTTCTTCACATAAACCAGTGCTTAAAGCAGAGATTGTATTATGCTTCTGTTGTATGGTAAGAGAACCTCTAAATTCTCTGAACGGCCTGAGCAGGCAGCTCTGTTGCCTCCGTGAGCCCCAGCACCAAGGCAGTAACACTGCAACCCGGCCCCAGCACCCAGGGTCCAACCTTGGCCCAGGGACTTTGCAGAATTGACAAGAAATAAAGACTCCTCTCTCCAAAACTTTGCAGCATCCACACATAAAACATTGGCAGGGGAAAAAAATACCAACACCTAACCAACCCAAACCCCCACTTCAGTTAACAATACAACATTTTGAGGACATCACCCTCCTAAGCTTTCTGGCACAGTGTTTAGTGGGGGAGGTTGTGTGTGTGTGTGTAATGGGGTTATAGACATGAAAAGGAAAGTGTAGGTGTATCTAATCAGGAGACAGCTGGAAACTGACCCTGCCATGTGAAATAAGCAGGCTGGGGAAAGAGGAAGCTCCTGAAAAAGGAAGCGTGAGGCCTAAGAAGACATCTCACAAGCCAGAAACCGAGGATCTGGAGTGAAAGACACACATTGGCTACACCTATTTTTAAAAATGCAACATAAATGACAAAATGGTGCCCAGCACATGAAGAAAGAGGACTTCCATCTGGTTCATATAGCTGGAACAAAGACACCAGGAAAAAAAGGGGTGGAAAAACAGTAATGCGATAGGAGCTTTCAGAAGTTTAAAAAGTCCAAGACAAAAGAAAGGCAAGACAAACTAATATCAATACCATATCTTGCACACATCTTTTCCTTGCACACAGTACTCTGCACGTGACTCAGGAAGAAGGGGACTCTGAGGAGCTGGCTGGAAAACTCAGCTCCTAGAGCTTCCCTCCTCTGAGCCCTGCCCTTCCACAGCTGCCCCATGATGGGCACCTGAGTTTCTTAGTATTCCATGGAATTTAATTACAAAATTTCCTTTTGCACTTTTGCAATTTACCTCGTGGACATGGCCAAGCTGATAAGGGTTTTTTCCTTTTCCAAAGGAAAAGTATCTGTGTTCAGAGATAGCACTACTGCTAAAAAGCAAATGTAACAGCATTGAGCAGGACCAACCCAACAAGAAAATAAATCACAAGCTTTAGCCAAGCTCAACACAGCATTTTTGTAGGCAATGTTAGGCATAAACTCCTATCACTGTGCAGCCTTGCACAGAAAGATGACGCTCAGGGCTTGACTCCACAAAACATGGTAGATATGGAAATAGCCCAGATGTGTTTAACAGGTCTTTAAGCTTCAGTAGTAAGCAAGACTGAAGCACGTGGGCTCCTGCTCATCCATGCCTGACAAAACAGTTCTGCAACAGGTAACGCTCCTGCCGTTCCAATAAGAAGCACTGACAATTTCACGGCCACCCACAAAAGCATATAGAATAATGCTCTGATAAAATAAGCCGCTGATAAAATATAATGAAGGCTAATTTCTCAGCAATCCAAGTCTGATGATATCCTTCATCTACTCATAGTAAAACCTTCAGCAGTCATAGTCAAATCTTAAAAGCAGGAAGGGTGCATGGCACACAAGGGTGTGCAGAACCTGCAGCTCCCTGAGACCTTCACGTCTCACTTCAACAGCCTAGTGAGCAGGTACAGAGCATGTGAAGCAAACAAAATGTTCACTACTCTTCCTAACTGTCTGAATAGATCTGAATACTGGGAGAAAAATAATGAAAGAAAGGAAAGGAGAGCAGGAATTCCTGCCACAAGAGCAGTGCCAGCACAGTGACACAGGTGACATCAAGGCATGGGCACAGGCCTGTGCAGTTCAACACCCGTTACCTGACAGGGCAGAGGAGTCCCAGAACCACTGGCACACATCCAACACCAACGGGAACAAGCTGTGTCACGACACGGGGAGGTACCAGCAAAGCAAACAATGACAGAAGACAGGAACCAGAAAACAGAGTTATATTGCTTGACTACAAATCCTATGTTACATAGTTCTTGTCATAATTAAATCACAACTTTTCCATTCTGTGAGTTGTTTCTCTGTTCCTTGTAGCTTGTATAGCCCATATGTTCACAACAGATGGATCAATGCTGTAGCTCAGTGACATTTTTCTAATTATAGATGGATTTATGAAATTCTTAAATAATTTTGAAGAAAATACTCTCTGCTGAGGGACAGTGAGTCAGTGTAGCATCACTGTCAACAGCAAACACCAAAACTAAGGAAGTGAAATTGCTGTGGCTTTATTAAAAGGAAAAGGTCAAAAATTTATTTAAAAGATAACATCACAAAAAGCTGAAGGAGACAAATAGGCAAAGTGTTGAGAAAGTGAGCACAGACCAACAAAAAAAGTTAAGTGAAAGTCAGATGCAGTGACAATCCATACAGGCTTGGTATAACTTGGGGGTCCAGAGGTCTCTCAACCTCGATGAGTGAACATTATCTGCCAGACACTTCAAAAAAATGATTTCTATTTCTTAAGCTTCATTATGTAATCTAGTCTCAGTGAGGCTAAATAAAATAGGAGAACTTAGGGTTAAATTAATACTGTGTGAAACAACTTCAATACCTCATAACTTAAAGACAGTGTTTAAAGTTTGAATTTACATCAAACTTTAAGTTTGCTCTAATGACTTCAGATTTTTCCTGGTTCTTTACTGATTCTCATTTGAAGTGTGTTGCAAATAATTTTCCAATACAAATTGTTGAATGAAGAGTTACTTTTTGCAACTTAACAACTCATTAATTTATAGTCATAAATTCCAGCAGCGCAGCAGCCTGAATGCTAAGCTGGCTTCTCCAATGAAAACAGCACTGACATCTGTTATAAGGGTGATTTACCAAATGACTGCATTATGCTTTACTGATTTGACAAACCAAGAAGCTCTGCTAATAATCATATCAGTGATTTAAAATTTACATGGAGCTAATTTACAAATACATTACATCTCTATACTGAAAATTCAGTAAAGGCTGCTATATATTATTTAAAGCTGTACAATCATCTGCATTTAACCTGCAAGCTGTCTCCCATTAATTTGTAACTTCAACTGACACAACATATTTTAAACCTGGTACGTACAGACACATGCCACAGCCAAGACAGTATGCCTCAGACTGAAATAACAGCAAGATATTATGTTAATATGGCAAAGACACACAGTGCTTTTCACAGAATATCAGACAACATTCTGTTGTTCTCTGTGAAAAAAACCCCAACATTTCTATTTTTCAATTTTTACTTTTTGTTTCCTGTGCAAATTAAGTCAAGCATAGTTCATGTGATTTTTACAGCTCCCAACATTACACAGATTGCATAGCAATATTGCAGCAGTCTTGACCTTTCTGGCTCTTGGAGGCATGAGAAGATAGAGATCCCCACATTTGGAAGGCACTGAATAACTCTTCCAACCTCTGTGTCACACTGTGAGATAGTGCTGTTACCTGCTCTCAGGAGAGTAAATGAGGTACACCACCCTGACCTGTGAACATTTCCAGGAAGAGTCCAACTCTCCCGCCCATCGTTCTTCCCTCTCCTACACACTATCTGCTAAAAGACAAAAGGAAGTAACAGAAAAACAGGCACGTGCAACGTGATTTCAGCACAAGGGACTGATACTTGCATCTCCCTCTCGTGTCTCATTCTCCATAGCAGTATTTCCTTGGCCGTGTCACTTTAGACCTACAGTATACATTGTTATTGTCTGTCATAAGATGGTGCAAATATTATAAAGCAGCTAGAAATTCACCAGGCTCTACCAAGGGTGAACTGATCACAGAGGTCTCTGATGGTTTAGTCCCCAAAGGTGGCCTTTCCCCTCTCATTTTGTTTTCTTCTGTCAGACTCCAGTCCCCCTCTCTCACCTCTCCAAGGTGGCGGGGAGAAAGCCTGCGCAGCCGCTCTCCCTCAGGCCACAAGGGCACGGCCAGCAGCACCAAGGATGGCTCCCAGGGGGTGACCCCGTCCCCAGACGCTCTTCCGTACCACGTGCTGCTCCAGAGGAACGGCAGCTTCAGGGTCAAAGTGGCTGCTTCACCAAATCACAGGCCCTTATATGCCAAAAAGTGATTCCTGAACTTGTTCTCATACCTGCAAGATGCTGTAGCAGAATGCTACCAGATTAACAGTCTTCATTTTTCCTGTCACTCCTGCCACGTGACCCCAGTGGTTTCCAAACTCTGCACACTCAATCAGTACAAAATGTTTGAGCATGGACTCCCAATACATGTATGCTTATTTATAAACTATGTATATGTACTACTCGACTATTACAATATGCTTATTTTAAAACATACATAGAAACACAAACTATAAAGGAAAATAAATATAAAAACAAACCAAAAAATATTTCCTTCCTACACTCCAGTGGACTGTCCTACCCACATTCCGCTTTGGAAACCACCAATCCAGGCAAACATTTCATCAGACAAAGCTGCACCAAGGGTCAGCTTTGGGATAAAAGGCTTTTCCCCATATTGCCACATTATTTACCTAATATGCTTCGGCCTGTTCAATCTCCCTGCTCATACATGAAGTAAAGGGAAGACAGTTTGAAATCAACAAACCAGACCTTGCTTTATAAACTTCTGTTGCTGGACTTGGGTACAAACTCAAAAAACTAACAATTTTCCCTAAAATTCTCCTGAAACAAAGATCCTGAGTTCACTCACAATGAAGAGAGAGGCAATATACAAGTAAACCTGAAGCTATTATGAGGTCTCTTTCTCACAACTCTCAATGGCTTGACTAACTGTAAAGTTAATCAGCCCAGGAGAGTGCATGCTTTCCACAACTACTTCATTACTATCTCTGTTGTTGTAACAGTCAGCAAGAGGCAAAAGCTTCAGATACAGCTCCAGGCAGACTCCTCGCAAGAGGAAACAAAGTATATCCAGCCTCCATAGACCCCTTTGTTATTAAGGGCTGTTTTTCAGAGGACTCTCTGAACCAGTTTCCTGAATAAACTAAAATTAGCTAATCAGAAAGCTAGTCTTCCAAAAAGCAAACAACAAAAAAAACCCAAAACACATCAAACTTCAAGAATGCTTCAACTAAATTGATCTGGGAAAGGGGAGAAATGGTAAGACAAATGCTGCTTGCTTTTTGATATCATCAATAGGCTGATAGGCAAACTTTGCAAGAATGTGTCACAGAACGGAGACTGTCATTTCAGTGACTGCTTTTCCCACACAGGCAGGACAAACTGAAGGAGACAGCAGTGATCCCTCAGCAGCAGAGCAGTCAGGATGATCTAAACCACATACAAGCAACCCAGCACTGAGGGGCTGGACAGTAGTGCAGGCTGCAGCCCATGTTCCCAGAGCCTCTCACAGCCTAAAAGACCAACAACACCATCCACTCACACTAGAATTCTTTTCTTTTATAAAATACAAAAGAAAATAAGAAAGGAATTTAAAAAGTCATCTAGGCAAATGGAAGGTTTTCTTGCAGGAACTAGCTAACAGTTGCTAAGAAGGACCACTCTGGCTGCTGCTCAGCCTATCACTCCTTGTTTGACTGAGGTGTGCTATCCAAACAACCTAATATGTTTCAAATGTAGCTCTCATTTCACTGATCAAATACATATAAAATCAGCCACCTGCCATGTGAGAAAATGACTAATGCTTGCATCTTTTAAGCTCTTTGCTTCACCACTGAAGAAGCTTTTGAACACAGCACCATATGAATTTGCTGAAAGAAACCTACTTTTCAAAACAATATTTCAAAGGGCTTAAGAAAACATACAAGGAGATGATAAAGATCAAAGGTAAATTTGAGTAACTTACTGCTGCTGCTGTGGCCTCTTCTCCACCTACATAGATAGAAGAAGCAATCTCCATCACAGACAAGTTTGTGGGAGCATCTGTAGTGGATGATGATCTGGGCCGACCTGACTGAATATCCTGAGCAGACCTTCTGTTGATCTGCGGGCTTCCTTTCGGGGCATCTCCCTTGCCCCACCTGCTGTGCAGGCTGGTCCCTCTCTTCATTTTGGGTGGCACTCTGATCTGCTGAAGCACCCGGTTCAGAGCTGTGGGGTGGGTGGAGACACCATCAATTTCAGCACAGACGCTTTGGCTTTCCAAATCCAGGTCAGGCTCCAGCTCAGCCTGAGCTTGCTGGACATCATGTGGAGAAACAGATGACCTCCTGCGCTGATGCTGGAACAGGTGCTTCAAGCCTTGACCAATGACATTAATGTTCTCCAAAGCATTATGCGTTATTTTGGATAATTTTTGCTCTGATTCATGTTGTTTTTTGGTTTCTTGATCTTGGGATTTGCCTCCAGGATCAGGGTCATCAGACAACTGTTCAGTGCCAGACGGCTCCATTGATGACACCCAAAAAGTTTATTTGACTATTCATACATAAATATGTCCCCTTTCTTTAAAAGGCTTGTGTTTATTTTGAAAATGCCAAGATTGCCAGCCAATTAGGTGTGTAAATGCTTCAAGAGTGACTATACATGCAGCTGTGCCACGGTGATCTCATGCTTATCTAATGTTAAACAAAAGAGTAGTCATTATTATACATCCATGCAGCAAGTGTGGGTTAAAAATCCAATGCACAAAACATGCCATTAACAAAATAAAATGTATCAGTCCTTGGAGCACCCCTCCACGTGGCATTAGTTGCATCTAGGCTGTACGCAGAAGCCAAAGCTTGTGTGAGACAAGTCATTCATTGCCTGGGGGAGAAGTCCAGCACAAAGGGTGTAGGAAAGCAAGAAAGGTAAAAAAGCTGTTCAAAAAGGGGAGAAGCAAGAAGAAACCAGTGGGGTTTTGTTTATTAAGAACAAGCCCATAATAACATCTAACATGAGGTTAAACTTCTGAAAAGCATGTTAGTCAGGCAGAATTAATTTTGCTCTTTAACAAAGATCTGATACTAAGGCCCTAACTTAACCGTATTTAATACATGCAAAAAACCAGAACATTTCCAAATAAGTTATTCATTTCCACATAGTGAGAAATGGCTTATTACAGCCAGCATCCACTGATGGCACTGGAAACTTGATGTGAAAATCTATCTTCAAGCAAGAACAGGCAAGTGAAATGCTGTCAGTTGGCATACTCTTGTTCCACAGCTCTCAGAGGAAACAAGAATGCATTTTGAAAAGTAGATTAAGCAACTAAATCTGCAAGGGATCAGCACCAGGTATGTGCAGTTCAGCCTCTGGCACAGGAACTGCGCATCTGTTCTTAGAGATCTCAACCCGAGTCATTCCCTGGGCTCAGGCAGGACTGGATTATACAACAGTGCAGCTCAGCACTTGCTCATAGCAACAACTATGGGAGAAGGTCAGCAAAGATATGGGGAAGAAAGGGAGGAAGAAAGGAAGGATACAGTAACTGAAAGGGTTTTACATCAGCACCATGAGATCACATGTTTAGAAGCTGACCACTGTTTTCTGCAAGAGAAAACTTTGATTAGGCTTCTATAAATACAGAAATCAGCTCACAAAGGTCTACCTCAATCTTGGCAGAAAGCAGTCTGTGCTTTAGAAAAGTATTATTTGAAACTCAGCATATTTGGGATTTGAGAGTGTTCATTTCTATGCTAGAACAGCTGCAGAAACAGAATGCATTGAGTTTACAACTGGAGTGCTCTAGATTTTGTGCATCTGAAGCCTAACACAATGGGTTAAACAGATATTCCAAAATGCTTTCCAAATTGCCATCCAAAAATATCAGAAGAGCTACCTCTCTCTTTCTTTTTCTCAAGTGTCACTGCTATTAGTTGGAGGCAAGAAGAAACTCAGTACTTACAGAAAGCAGAACACTGGAATCATGCAGGATTTTATCTCTGTGCTTTGAAGATGCTATAAGCATTGAGTGTAAATATACCGGCCAGTTTAATCAGTAACACATTAAATGCAAAGGAATAAACTACATCCAAGAAAAATATATTTACCCACATTCATGCAGCAATTGTGTGGCAGAAGAAAAAAAGATGTGCCAACAACATACCTACATACTTAACACTATCTTAAATGAATTAAAGTGCCTTTCTGTCTAGTAGTGTGCTTTGGCTTTTGAGCTTCCTCTTTCTTAATCTTTTTTTTTCCCCTTCAGGCAACAGGTTTTGCAGAAAGTTAGACTACAGGTCTGCACTCAATTTATGTTTTAGGACAAAAAAATCACAAAAACCAACAGACCAAATGATTCAGTGAACAAAACTCACCATCTAAAAAAGCAAGAGCCCAAAAACTATTTGGCGTATAAAATACAAACCTGACAGCTGACCCATAACTGCCTTTTTCATTTTAGCTAATTCACTCAGCATTTATTTTCAGTCAGGACTCACTGAAGAACTGCAGTTCTTATCTAAGATGATGGGTAAACTCTCCAGCCAGGATCTCTATTCACATTATCACTGGCAATGATGCTGGTCTTAAAGAACACCACCTAAATCTAACTGGAATTCCACGCATTATCTGCAAGAAAAAATTACCCTGCTTAAATTAACCCTATGGCAGTTTACAAACCAACCTGAAACAAACCAGCTCACAGTGAGCTCACAAACAAGATATGACCATTCTGCAACATATTTCTGAAATTATATAGCCTCTCAGAGGTTCCTAATGGGAGCTTTGTAGTCATCTCCTACTTCTATTTCCACAGGATGAGTCTGTTGTGAGCCTGAAATGAGCTTTGCAAATTACACATCTGGTATGAAGATCCTTACAAGTATTTATTTGTTCTAGTATCTACTGCTGTGGAAAAGAATACTCTAAGTGTGAAGAATTGTGAATCTTCAAAATTATTTAGCACACTTATTTGCATTAGGATTCAACTTTTGTGGTCACTTTTGTTTTCTCTACTTACAACCACCTTTATATTCTGTTAGTGGGAGGAAACAATACTTTATACCATAAAGTTCAAAAACATACATTTCTTATTTGTACAAGAATACACTACATCAGGAACAAATTCACAATTACATATACAGCCAACTGAGCAGATGTTACTACATTATTATATCCCAGAACATTCTAATACAGCCCTTCATTTGTGCAATTATTTCCCAGGAGCCCTGGGAAACAAAACAGTTCAAAAGGAAAAACTGGCAAAATCAACATGAGATAATAGTGAAAGGATAAACTTGTACTTGCCTCCATCATTTGCCCTTTAGCATGGCTGACCCACAGCAGTCCCTCCACTGAACAGAACTGCAAGAGAAATTGGGTATGAGATACAATACTGAAAACTGGAGGAAAGATATACATAAACAGCAAAGAAAGAGCATGATTCCAAATTTAAATTTTTTTTTTTTAGTAATTTTTTTTCCATTGAAATGCAAGCTCCCCTGGAAGCTGTCCTGTTTTAAACTCTTTCAAATAACTGAAGGGATAAAAATATTACTGAAGTTAAAACTGAATCTTACAGAGTTAATCAAGAAGTTCTTGTGAAGGAGCATTTTATGTTGGGGTTTATGGCCACCAGCACAGGCCAAAAGCAGAGGAAGATGCTAGGGCTCCAACCTGCCCCATGTAGATTTTATTTTCTTCTCCTGTTTAGTCATTCTCCATGCTCCCAGCCCAGGTCAAACAGCTGGCTCTGGTGTTCACCTCACAGGAGGTAAAAGCTGTGGGCATTTGGACACTCTTGCACCTGCCACAGCTCATTGCACAGGCAGCTGCTGTCCCCTGGCAGCTCCTGCCTCTCCATTTCTGCAAAAGACCCAAAGGCCAGGTCCTTGCTAGGAGATGACAAGAGCAAAGCTGAGACCAGACACGGTAACCACACTTCTCTAGGCAGCCTCAAGGACTAGTCTGAAACACAGCCAGATCACCCAGATTTTCCAAAGATGATCATTAACTCAATGATCATCTTTGAAAACAGCTCTTGAAAACAGGGAGCACACTATTCTTCAGATGAACACCCCAAGAACTCTGCACTAAAGGGATATTTTGACTGTTTTACTCCACAGCGGATTCCCACCTCCAAGACAGAGAGAAAGGAAGAAAGGGTTACTCTGATCCACTGAAGTGGGATGCTAGAATATGAAGAAAGTGATGACAGCAAATCTTAGGAACTTGGAAAAAAAGAATGAACACATTTTTGAAAAATATCTTCCTATAGAAGAAAATCCATTTCTAAACAATCTTAGTGGAGAACTAATACAATGTGTGAAGTACTGGTCACACGAGGTGTCACTAACAGAACTTCAGTCACACTATTTGTCTACTTTTTTTTAAAGTTTTAATGTTATTTTTTATTCATAGTAACTGTAAGAGCTTTTGTCAGCAAGGTCTTCAGAGACATGACCTACAGCACTACAGGATGACCTACAGCATTACAGGACCTGCAGATCAGCAGCTGCTTTTGGCTGCCATAGTTCAGAGTCTGTGTCCCAAAGTGCCCACAGGTGGGCACTAAGAGGCATTAGCACCAAAACTACCTGTACTGTCCCTCATGTGAATCACAGCCCTGACTGACACACCACCAAAACTCCCATTTGCTCTCAGAAGCTCCATTTTCTTCTGAACTTTGAGAAACTATTGCATGGGGCTAATCAAAATTCCTTCACTTCCATGCACTTACAAAGCGTAGCCATCATCTTGGCTTTGATGTTTTTTGACAATTCTTCCCACTCTTTCCCTTTTCTTTTTTTCTTTATCAAATACTTTGTAACATGAACATTTCAAAAAATTTGACAAGTCTGAAAATACTTCTGCCCCTCTGATTTTAGACTTTATTCAAGTGAAAGTTTACTTTAAATTAATCAGTTTAATTAATTCCCTTCAAAATCAGTTCTTTGTAAACAAAGTGAACTCTGAAGCTACCACTGAAAACCAGTTTAGAGATTACTTATCTGCAGCTGAAGTACTTGTTACAGAAACAAACAGTACAGGACTGCAGAAATGGGGGAGAAAAATTATTTTCAAGGAAAGGAAAGAGGAAAAATTCTGCCTTCTCATAGAGTATTTCAAATACCTTTCTCTTATGCCGTATAAGAACACCATGAACCCTTAATAATAAAGATGCTGAAGTACAGTTAGCTAGATAATCCTCACATTCCTTTTATTTCATAAACAGGTCAATTTAACAGCTCGCTATGGAGTGTCATCACAGTTAGCAGGGATCTTAGGAAGGAGATGCTTCCCACTCATCCTATTTGGTAAAAGAAAAGCACTTTTCAGTTGTTTCAGAATAGAAACGATTTTTGCTAAGAAAAAGCCCAGCTTAGTTTGAGAAATCCCAGATTATTTTCAGCAACCCATCCCAAAATGGAGTTTGTATCCAGGCAAACAGTTTAGCAAGAAAGACTAAAGAAGCAACAGTCACACACTGGAAAGCCACCTGTTACAGGAACTGGGAACCCTAGCAAGTGATTTATATCCAAAGGAGGATTAAGATATTTTAAAAGCATCATTGCTCAGCAGTGCAAATAAGGAGAGAAAGCTCTGGGTGCGTTAACAACTAATTCTATCACAAAAAAGAACTCATGAGAAACCAGAATGGGTGTGAAATTCAAGGGGGCTGTCATCTGGAAAACATTTAAAGAGGAAGACACCAGTAACAGAGTAAGTAATTTGACTTAAGAAAACGGGATAGTAACATGACTACCCAATATCTAGAGAAATGTATATATTTAGCTATTACAATAGAACAATTTTGAAAAAGTCTGAGTGGAGAATTTGGGCCAGAATGGAAGAAGAAGACATACAAGAATTAATTAAATACAAATACCTTAGGTAAATGGTAGAATACAGGCAGAAAGAAAACAGAAAACAATTCTATACTATCTTTAATGGAAAAGATACCTACAGTTTTACATACATAATTCTTCATCATCCTCCTCCTCCAAAATTCACCCAAGAAAATATTTTTTTGAATTCTACCAAAGTCTGAAAGAAAAGCCAGAAACACGAGATATAGATACACAAAGACCCTCCCCAGGCCAAGACCAGAAAGGGAGTATAGCTGATAGCACTGTTAAAGGAAAAGGCTGGCAGTGTCTTTAGATATGAGTTACATGATTTTTAAGATATTCAGGGACAAAAATGGCATTATGTGTGATCCCATGCAAAACGTGAAATGTTTCTCCTAAAATCCTCACAAGACTAAAATAGCTCTACACAGTCCAGGCACTTGTTTGCTAGAGGTGAGTATGTTACAAGGAGAAAGGAGTGAGAGCAGATCCCCTAATGTCCTCCTCCTCTCTGACGCAGTGGTGGGGAGGGAGGGAGTCACTTTTTCCCATGCATATCCAAACACATTACAAATAGCAACTTCAAAGGTTTCATCAGCAGATTTTATGCTTTGGCACACCAAAAAGAGTTCACCATTTCTATTACTATATCCATTAATGGTTCACGTGTGCAAGGGCAGCATGCTTAGACATACCAGAAGGTGATCTTTCAACATCAGCCTCTTCTCAGCTCCACATCATGTTGAAACAGCTCCTATAACTTTATATTTAATACTGCTGACCAGCAGAACTAAGGTATAAAGTTTATGTTCCTGAAAGCTCAAATATTAATTCTGTAGATAAGAGAAAACTTCACTTATAAACGTCACTCACAGAGCATATACCAAACACTACCTTAGTGAGTGACAGATCCCTTTCTCCTTTCAATTTCTTTTTAATAAACATCTTCCTGAGTACACCTACATCAGAATCAAGTACCTTCAATAACACTTGTGGGCAACCTTTACACTATTGATGCCCTCCCTATAGGAAGTATTGCTTGCTCATTGCTCTGAATGTAGAATAAAGACTGCTGGCTCTTCTGCAAAGTAGAAGTTCACATCTAAGAACCACAGACAACATCACCAAAGATGAGGCAATTGTCCATGTTTATTTGAGTAATAATAGCTCAAAGTGGCCTAAAGTTGAGTGACTGGTTTTCAGAAATGGTTCTGCTGCTTTGGAGTACAACCGATTGCCACTGACATCTTTTCTACTCCTGACATCTTTTCCACCCCTCTCTGAACATTCAGTAACTCAGTGGTTACACTGTTTGAATCAAAGCTATGAAAGTAAAGATCAAGACTTCTCCAAAATTACTAACCAGGCAGAGGTACCAATACATCATCATTCTGTGTTTGTGATATGTCAAAATCTCATGTGAAAACCAAAGCAAAATGTTTCAGCTGTGTTTCTATAGCTGGTGACCTGCTTATTTATCAGAAGCCTTTCTCAACTGCACCGCTGCATCTAGAGCTGGTGTGCCATGGAGTCTGACTGTGGGGCAATGCTGCTGGTTCCACAGCTCAGCAGAACTTCATCCTTGATGAATTCCTTAGCTACATAAAGTATTTCTAGGTTTATATTACCATAACGTGTGAGCAGTCTGTGAATTCACCCTTCGAATGCTCCTACATTATGTTGAATTATTATTATTTCCCTAGTTTTCAGGCAACCCCCCCCACAGAAGATCAAGAAGCTGCCTGAAGGTCATGTGACACTTTTACAGCAGAGAACCAAACTTAATATTTGCTCTTATAAGGTTAATGTTATACTTCCATGATTTCTCCTGTTGATAGCTTCAGATTCATTTACGAACAGTGTACAGCAATGTAACTGGAACCTACTCAAACCACTTAAAAACATTATTTTCTGGAAAAGGCTACATATAGGCTATTTTCCATCACATTATATAAAAACAGTGCTTCAAGAAAGCTAAATGAATGTTCAAGAAAAATTTAACTAGAATCTTCTGATTAGTTGACATTGACAACTACATATATCATGTACATTTTCTTGACTTTTTTCATGAACATATTTAAAATTTGGGAGACAACACTAACAGTGCAGTCTGCAGGGATTTTAGAAGAAAAACAAAGTGGATGAAGAATTATTATAAAGACAGCCTGCTTTACTAGGCTCAAGAGGAACCCTGCAATTCAAAACTGTGTGGTCTGCCACAGGAAGGCTGACAGTTGACACTTTCACTTAATTTAGTGGCCTGTTTCAGAAAACTGACATCCTCACCCACTCTTCCTCAAAACCAAACTGAACTTAAGCCAAACAGCAGCATTTCCTCTAAAACACCTCTGCTTTTTGCAAAAGGGAAAAATGTTGCATCCCTATTACCGTGTTCTAAAAACCAGCCAAGTGCATGCTCTGAACTCAGGGCTTCACCGAAGAACACTGAAGGGACATCTCCAGCCACAGTCCAAGCAGAGATCTGAAGCTGTCCTTTCACAACACAAGAAGTACAACAGAAATGGCAATTTAAGACATTTCCAACCTCTTTTGTCCCCAGGGGCTCATTTTCAGAACCACAGCATGGCATTCAATTTTAGCTTCTGTAGGCACAGGTATTTCCACGGCTGTGATATGAAATGATACAAAAGAAAATAACTCTGATTTGAAGGAAGACAGGACTGAGGGACAAATCTGACCATAGACTCAGTTATAACAACTTTGGAATAAGGTTAAAGAGATGAAGTAGACAGACAGGGTGCACAATTACTCCCAGATGGTGTTATCAAAAACCTCCTATCTGATGCTATGGCCATAACAGCTGCAGAAACAGGAACTCACGTGAGCTTCAGCAAGGACTCATCAGAATACAAGTGATTTCACTTCTACAGTTCAAATACTGCATTTTGCAAACAGAGAAACTTCCTCCCCAAAGGAAAAGATTGAAGAAGTGTTAAGCAAATATTCAAAACAATGTGTCTTCCACAAAGAAAAGAATGGATTTAATTCCTTGAAGCAAATATTTTAGTGGTCAGTTGCACTCCTACTATTAACTTCTCCTATTAACATCTGCATTATCTGGATCTGATTCTTCAGTCTCTGGAAAAATGCAACAGTACTAGGCCATGGCAAGAATTTCAGCAGGATCTTTTCAGGAGAGGAAGGGGTGGAGGGGAGAGATCAAAGCTGCTCTTATCTCCTCACTGCTGTCTGCCAAGAGACAGTGCCACCTTCTGTGTGTCAAAGCTGACTCAAATGTCAGGAACAAGTGAACCATAAAGTGGAAATACAGGTATTTTCATTCCACTTCCAAGGGAAGACAAAAGGTTATACTACACCTATTTCTGGCATTAAAGAGAGACGTCTAAGCATGCTAGTAATACAAAGAAAAGAAGAGATGGCCTCTCATTTTACCTCCTAGCAGAATTACCTGCGATAATGCCGGAGAGATGCTGGCAAGATTTAGCAACTCTAGTTCTAAAAGAAAGGTTTATTCCAGGCTTGCAGTTGTAAGGAGGTTAAAACAAGTTAAATTAGCAGGCTTGTAAAGAAAGATATAATCTACCACCAACCCACACCCCACACTATGTGTGATTTTAACATGTGCTTTTAGCCCTTGGAAAGTATATTTACAATGACTCATGAAAGAAGTAGAACTAACCTCACACATAGTGGTAAAATAGTCCCCCTGATGACTCAAAACCAGCTCTTTCTACCAGTATTGTTTAAAATGCGACACAGATCTGATAAACAGATAAATTCTGACCAGAAGTCAATAGTCATTGCTATTCTGACTGTTGATGCTGCTCAACCACTGACAGCCTCATCCTGCTCTTCAGAAGAAAACTCTCCTTCCTGATCCTTTTTCAAGACTGCGAGTCTAGGGAGCTTTTACTTAAGTGTGACTCTTTAAAAAAATTGTATCAGTATAACAGTAGTGGCCTTAATCTGGGGCCAGTTTTTTTACGGGTCCTTTTCTAATCAAGCATTAGCACATTCCTCCTTGCAGGACTACAAACAAGATGTTCAGGTTACCCATCAAACACTGCTTGAAGTCCTTCAGTCAGCACTTGTATGAGGCTGGGAGGACCTATCAGTAAAAGACTACCCCCACCCACACCTTGTTACCTGTTCTCAATGTTAAAAACCTGCTATCAGCTGTCAACAGAAACAGGAGACGTGCATAAGGTGCTTTTGACTTGATTCATTACAGCCACTTCTCCCAGTCCCAGGTAGACTCAAGCAGAGCTTAAGACAAGGAACAATATAATTGCATTCCTATGTACCCTAACAAGTAGGAACAGCATCAGCCTGGCCTGTATATCTCACAGACACTGTGTGAGCAGAACCATGGGCACCTGCCCTGCAGCACACAGACATGCTGCCAGGCCTCTTTCCAGGTGCCAAGGAACCAGCCCAGCACAGCCACAACTCCCTATCCCCTCAGAGCAGCATCTTTTGGAACAGGACCCATGTCAACCATCCATCAACTGCTACCACATAGACTTGTGAATTCCCTGCTTTGCTCACTTTTTGGACTTTTGCAATAAAAATACTGATGCATATCTATGGTTCTTTTCTTCTCTTAGATCTTATCATGCATTTTAGACACACACACACACACAAACTGCACAAACACAGCACAGCAAAGCAGCCACTCACAAATATGCTGCTCTTCAATATCCACCTCCACATCCAGCTGCACAGAGGCAGTAATTTGGTATAAAGCAATTGGGCTTGACTACTTTGTTGCCAATGGGAAACAAGTAGTCATGCATTTAAAACCTCAGCCAAAATCATAATGTTTCTTCCCACATTCATGGTAAAGTCCACATTAAAAAATCCACAAATCTTTACTCAAAGCAGCATAAGAAGGGAGCAATCTTATTTGAAATAATGCTGAATTTCAACTACCACTGAGAAGGTGTGGGCTTATAATCAGAGCCAAAAGCAAGACACAAGTTAATGGCTCCTTACAGAGCTGCTGTGCAACTTGGGTTTCTGCCAGAACACCCGTTTGCTAGCTGCAGAGCAGCTTTGCAGCTGGTCAGGCTCCCAGTACAGGTACATGATAGGAATTTCAGTACATGGGTGGTTACAGAAAACCAGCTATACCAGGTGGGTCCTCCCCAGGTGCAGAGCTTCCTCTTTCCCTTCATTGAACCTCATGAGGTTCCTGCCTGCCTATTCCTCAGGCCTATCCAGGTGCCTCTGAATGGCAGTACTATCCTCAGGTCTATTAATGTCTCATCTTGCATCACCTACAAAATTCTTCACCTGGCCCTATTAATATATTATTAATAAAGAGATTGTACAGTACTGGACCCTGTACTTCTCCCACAGACTGGGATTACACCAGAAGCATTTAAAGCACTTCAGTAAACCAGAACCAAAACTTTCAGCACAACAAACCAGCTGAGAACTAACTCCCACAGCAAAAGCATGGCCAGCACAGGAACTGCTCTGCAGAACAGCAAGCACCCACTGACACAGCCTCCCTCTCTGCTCCTCTTACCACAGGATGCTCTGCAGCCCAGGCAGTCAAACTTCTCACAGGTACCCAATGCATAGCCAAGTTCTTCTGTTATGCAAAGGCTCACACATGCAGAATATCTTCCTCCACAAAGCATTTAATATAAATCAGTAGCAACCAGAGCTAGAGGCTACCCCAGCTGAAAGCCACCACAGGGAAGGACCACAGCCCCATGCACCTAGGAGGGACTGGCTTTCACCAATAGAGATTTTGCCTTCCTAAGTCAGTCAGTCATCACTGGCCTGAATGAGCTAAGCTCAGTCTTAACAGATTCTGACCCAAAGTCGCTTTGTGTTCATTTCTCCCATTTTAACTGCTATTCAACCTCAGGATCACAGCAAGGACACTCACTGCTTCTCACAGACAAGTGACACTACCCCTTATGACTGTGACCCACTAAAGCATGAAATGCTTGTTCAGCGGGCAGTGAATTTACAAACATGGAGTGCTATGGGTGCAGCATTTCCAGTGATCCCAGAAAAGGCCACAGTCCTTTTGCTCAAAACTAGTAAAACTGGGAACCATGAAAAACACATTTATTTGCCTTCAGGATAATCACCATGGCAACTGGCTTCCAGGAAAATAATAGTCAATAGCTTTAGTATTGAAGGCCACTATGGGATTTGTTAAGGACATCATCAGCTCACACAAATCCAAAATATACTGAAATTCACCAAATTCGCACCAAGTTGGGTTGCAGAATCCACATGCCTGGTACACTGCATAAAGCACCAATAAGGTGGCAATGGGTAACTCAGCAAACCACTCCTAGTGTGTTCCTACAGCTTCTATGAAAGCAGCTTACAGCAAACAATGCTCCTCCTTTCTGCCCAATGCTGCTTTTGCACACTGCCACAGCCAAATAACACTGTCCAGGCAGACTGAGAAACACATTTAAAGTGTGCTACACCAACTTCTGTCCACTCATAACAGAGAATCTCACCAAGATGCCAATCCCTGGCCTCAGCTCTGCTTGCAGGCGAATGATGGAGGAGTTCCCGCAGCGCATGAAAGGGATCCCCTTCCCAACCACTGCACTTCGCTGCCCATCACAGTTCAGACTTGCACTGCAACACAGCCCATTCTGCCTTCCTGTTACAGGAACACTATCAGGCTGTTTTAAGCCAGACAGGGAGGTAGGTCAGATTTGTGTCCCTCTAGTATCATCTCAGCCTGAATCACTGGAGCTTATCAACAAAAGCATGCATGTTGTCTGCTAAATATATCCTATATGGCAACTGTGCATGATGAATGATTCAGTCAGGTAGCTACTTGCAGCACTAGTTTTCCTTTTTAAACTAAACCCACTAATGAATGTCTCTTCTGGAAGCCAGAGAGGTGTGTGTTTGGCTGCCTTTCACTGTAACCCACCATTAACTGACAAAACTGCCACTGCCACTGCTCTGGAACGCTGGCATCTACATCACAGAAGGGATAAGGAGTCCAAGTAGTTTACAGAAGGAAAAGATGTTATCAGTGCACACCAGCCTCTTCTAAGCCCATACAGAGGCAGTTAGCCAGCTTCCTCATTGCAGGTTTAGAATATGCATAGACAGCTAAAAGCCTCCAAAGGACGCTTTAGGAAAAGGAAAATAAAACCGTGCATACTGGTTACTTTCTATGCTGTGGAAACAGCCAAGGCTGTCCATCTCTTGTTACCTGAGTGGGACAAACCTGCACAGCACCAAGGCAAATCCCACCCAGCTCTGCTTGTGTCTTGTACATCACAGGCATATTGTCTAATGAGACTGCTCCTTTCCGGGAGCAGAGACCACTGTGCCAGCACCTGTCCACAGGAAGGCAAGCAAAATATCCTTCTTTCCTAACCTTCATTCCAGATGCTTCCAAATTCAGGGCAAATACTCTGTAACTTCACGTGAGTGCTTTACCTAAGCAAATAGAGCAACCACCATGGCCTCCCAGGCGCATTTCAATGACACATACGTTTTGAAGAAGAAAATTTCTGCAGACCATGGTGGTATTTAGGAACTGAATGGGTGAGCAGTGGATACAGTTTTTCTAAATACAATCTTTTGAGTACTCCCACAGTAGGTTCAACCAAGGTCACCCTCCATACAATGCCAGCTGGGTATTCTGGTGCTCCTACAGCCTCACTGTGTACACGTATATTCTGCTGCTAAAACCGTGCAAAAGAGTGCACATTAGCCTAAATCTAGAATATGTACACCTAGAGCTCTCTTTGCCCTAATCAGATGGCCTTCCCTTCCATGTGTTCTAAGTCATAGCAGGCATACATACCTCAAAAGTGCTCAGGGTAGCTTGTCTCTTTGCATAGGTATGCTCACAGTTGTAATCCAAATGTCATCAACAGACGTCTAACTTTAAAAAAAATTAGAAGTATAAATTCCAGAGGAAACAGGAAAGTCAGGGAAGGAAAGATGATATGATTTATCAGCTTCTACACTTGCAGGCATCTGCAGTAGGTACTGTAGGTCATTTTCAGAGTAAATCTTGGCAACAAAGCTTCTTTGAAGAGGAGAAAGACCTGCCAAAATTAACAAGCATAATAAGAAACGCCATTAATACCTGATAAACAATAAAACAGCACACATATTCAGGGTCCCCTTCAGAGAAAAGAATTAACTCATATGAAAAACTGGGTTTCTGCTAGCTTTGACATATTTAAAATCAGAAGCAGCCTCTGAAGTTACCTCATACTGTGACTACTTTAACCTAATAAATTATCTCAAGGAGGGAAATCCTCTAAGCATTCAAATAAAGTTTGATCATATCAGAGCATGCAACACCATATCACATCACAGATTGCCCTGAGTCAGACAAACCTTCCCAGCTCACCAGATGCCTTGATGTTCACTGAGTATTTTGCCACAGGAGTGCCTGTGTGACCAGTGTCAGACTAAAGAATTAAGCCACTGTCCAAAACGGGGACCAACACAGAGTGTGATGGAAGCCCCAACACAGCATGCACATAAAGTACATACTTGGAGGGTACCTGCCTGGCATAAATGTTCCAGAGTGTTGGCAAACTTCTGAACTTTTCAGGTCTGGATTTAAGTTAATAAAACGTAAACGTTTTTGGTGCAGAGACCTCCTGTTCTGTGTTTGCATTTCACATGGTATGTCAGATCTAGCTTCCAAATCAAAGTTCTCAATCTTGTTTTGATAGAAGCGTTTTGTATTTTTGGTACATGAGTTTATAAATAAAAAGGGTCAACTAGATCTGCATTACCATTAAATGTTTCTGAAAGTATGAAGACATTACATTTTGCAAAAATATATTTAACTCTACACAATTAATTGTTTTCTTCTTTCTTTTTTCCTTAACAGCTTGGCTGGAAGAACAATTTTGAGAATTTGGAGCTTAAATTCAAGCCCAAACAATCAGCTCATTGTGCTGTAACAATATCCAGGGTCTCAACTGCTTAGGGGAGTTAAGTATTTTCAGTATTTAATCACAACAGAATACTGAGTTTCTAGAAGTGCAGAAAATGCACGTCTAGACTGCCACCTTCATGTTCCATTTCATTCAGCCATCTTCACTCTTTCTAGGGATGTCAGTTTATCCTCTAGGAAACATTGTGCCGAGTTCACAGATTTGCTGACCTTGGAAGGGACCTCTTGATGTCACCTGGGCCACACAAGGTTCATTGCCTATACACCATTTTTACAAGTCTTTCTGTTGAGAGACCACCCTGTTGCTGGCCCCAGAGAGCTCAAGTCCACAGGAGCTCCATCCCCCACGGAGAGTGCGCAACCTCTGTGCCAAGCAGCATTCAGTGTGCTACAGCAACCAGCCTTTATCAGGCCTTAGGGGACAGGCACGGCGAAACCCTCTCCCTCTACTTCAGGGGTGAGGAGACTCCAGGTCTATCAAGAGGCAGCCAACCAGCCAGCTCACCTGAGAAACACCTTGCACTTGGTGAATTCAGGTGCCAAAACCCAGCTCTCACTGGCAGACAGCTACAGAACCACCTGAGGAGAACATGCCACACCAGTAAACGTGCTGGGGAAGCCAGTGGAAAGGGAAGACTCCTCCTCCAGAGCTCTAAGCAAAAATTCCTAGAAACCAAGCCCAAGATATTATCACACCAAGTCTTTTTGAATGGTTCAAAACAATTCTCAGAAAGACCAGAGAAAACACTAACACAAGGTTTGCCTGACTCCAGAGCAGCCACAGTTGCTAGCTCACAGTCAGGCACAGGCCATTCACCCAAGCAGTGGAGGAGCTGACTCACTAGATACAACCCATTTCCTGCAGAATGCACCTCTCTAAACACAGGGAAACAAAATCTGTAGACTTCCAATGATTTCTATTTTGTATCTGAATTAGACATAGGTTTTAATTACAGGAACTTCAGCTGTGATTAAATAAGATGCGAGACAGCTCAAACTATGACACAAAACTGCTTGGAAAACCAAACTCAGAAATGTGGTAAATGTGGTAAATTTTATGTGGTAAATGGAGGAGGGAAACCCCAGACTTTATGGAAACCTGAAGTTCCAATTTCTTTCTAAAGCAAATTCCACACAAAGTAGATCTTTCTCCATCTTCAGTTTGCTTCCATACTTTGGATGGCTTCCAGACCAGCTGGATGGGTTTATCAGGCAACAGAACTGGACACAGTGTACACAAAGCTCCAACAAACTTGTTCATTTGGTGCCAGAACCCTATGTGGCTGCAGAGCTGCTGAGCAGCACAAACCCTGCAAGCTGGGGAGCGCCACTGTCCCCAGACAAGAGAGGGAAGAGCTCCCCCGGGATCAAGACAGAAACAGCCCTTCCAGTGAGTACACCTACTCACCGGGCCTTCCGTGCCTCTAGACACTTCCAGATGGACCAAGAATTTACCCTAAGAGAAGGATCATGACCAAAAATGGAGTCACCTGCCACATGTTAATCTTGAGTAAGACAGAATCAGTGGTGAGCATCAGGGACAGCAGCACTTACTCCCTGGGCTGAGGAGAACCCAGTGACACTGGCTCAGGTCAAGGCATCACTACTTCAGTGACCACACCAGTAGCCTGAACTGTTACTAAGGGCTTACAACCTGCAGAAACACCTGATTTTAAGGTTTGTGGATGATGGACACTGTTTACTGATGCAGTGGGAGTTACATTACCTTCTTCTGCCTCCCCCTCCCCTAGACTTCGACTCAGACCTTTGTACCTTCAGTTCAGACCTTTACACCTCCTACCCACCAAGAAGCCTCATTAAGTTTCCCTATTGATAGAGTTTTTTAGTGAAAGCAATGCTTCCACCCACCATGGGAGTTTTGCTGGCCACCGCATTTGTGACTAATGCACACCAGGTACTTCCGTGTCTCCAGTAACAGCAGCTGCACACAAGTCACAAACAGAGTGTCAGCTCCAAGTCTCGTGAATTTTAGCACTCATAAAGCTTCGAAGCTGCTGCTTTACCCCTTAAGCTCTTTACTTTAAAGGCCTGTCACTGACAATCTGCTTTCAAGCCGGCAAATTCTGAGCTCGCCGTGAAATAATTCATGTCTTAACCATCTCATCAAAGACAGCCAAGGCGAGCAGGAATCAGTGAAGCGAACACATGCCTCAGCCCGCCCCAAACCAACGCGAGGGCCGAGGCGGTGCCTTGCGAACCTCCGGCACAGGCCACACGTGCGTGGGGCCGCCCCCGGGAGGGCCCAGGGGGCTGTGGGGGCCGCGGGGACCGGGGCGGTCGCGGGGGCCACGGCAGGGGCCGAGGGCGCCACTCGCCACCGCCGGGCCAGACATCGCCCCGCGAAGCCCGGGCCCTGCGTCCCGGACGACGGCGCGGAACGGGGCGAGCAGGGCGGCGGGGCCGCGACCGGACAGAGAGTCCTAAACCGGCCGCAGGAGCGGGGGCGGTGAGAGACAGCCCGGCCGAGCGGCGGGTCTGGGGGTGGATGAGGCGCTCGCGATGGGCGCACGCGGGGCCGGTCGGGCGGGGTCCCCTCGCCCCGTCCCTCGGTTCCAGGTGTTCTCCCGCCCCGTTCCCGTTCCCGTTCCCGATCCCGTTCCCGATCCCGATCCCGCGGTCCGTCGGTCACTCACCGGCCGAGCGGCGGCCGCTCCATCCCCGCGCGCCGCCACCGCCCGGCCCGGCCGCGTGACGTCGCGCGAGAGGTGGGGCGGGCGCGCGCGGTGGCGTCACCTGCGGGGGCGGGCCCTGCGGTAGGGCACGCCCTCCCGGCGGCGCCTGCGCGGTGAGGCCCCGCCCCAGCAACGCTGCCGCGGTCACGTGCGGGGTGGGCGGGGTCAGATCAGTTCCCGGTGCCGCTGCCGCTGGTCTCAGACCGGCCCGGCCCAGACCGGCCCGTTTCCGTTCCCGTTCTCGTTCTTGTTCTGCGGGGTCTCGGCCCTGCCCGGCCCGGCCCGGTCCCGTTCCCGTTCCGCGGGGTTTCTGCCCGGCCCGGCCCGGCCCGGCCCGCTTCCGGCCGCGGCGGGCGCCGGGGCGGCTCTCGTTCTCTGTGCTGCGGTGGCGGCAGATTCGCACTCCAGACAGTTTTTCTCTACTCACCTCTTCCGTCTCCCGCAGCCCCTTCCCGCTGGGCCCAGCCCCTTCGGGCGCAGCCATGGCTGAGCTCCCTTGGGTGGCTCCTCGCCTTGAGACCCCGTCACCCCCCCTCAGGTGTGACTCCCGCACAGGTGAGTCACGGCCCCCTCAGCACTGACTAAAGCACAGCCTTCCAAACAGCAGGGAAAACCCACCTCCCCCTGCCAAACACCTTTGGCTCTGACCTCTGGGTCGAAGGAGCAGGAAAGGACAGTCATGCCAGGGTTGGCTTTGAATAATTACCATGGATTGAAATGTCCTTAAAAGGTAAAATCCGTGAATTTCCACCACAGCAGACACTCCAGCCTGAGGTATCTCAGATCAGTAGCATATTCCCAGCTGAGTATTAAAGGGGCTGTCATCTGATTTTCTGGTCCCTGTGACTAAACTGCTGTAGCTTTGCTCTCATGTTCCAGAAATCCTAGAGACCCTTCAATGAAATTATGGCTCATTATAACTTTGAAGGATGCACTTTAGTCTCTAGACAATGGTGTAATGCACTAATATAATGAAAAGTACACTTCCATTTGCAAGATGCTCTGTCTCTTGTAACTGCTCCAATGCAGCCAAAGAAGTTAGTAAAAGAAAAGCAATTAATGCAAATAATAATAAAAATTTAGTCTTTTTCATGTTTTTGACTTTCCAAGAAAGTTGGCCTCATATCATTGCTCTTGAGCTAGATAAATGTGATTAACCCGCACTGCAGATGGAGGTGCTGTATTAAAAACACCTTTCTCAACTGCCCAGGTACAGGGCACCCGATGCTCAGAGGGTGATGCTCAGCATCAGCAAGGGACACCAAGGCCCCACAGCTATCTGCACAACTTCTCTCCATACACCAGCATGTGTCCTTGTTGTGTGACTGGATTGCCGTGGATTCCCAGTGCTGTGCAGAGCACTGGAATGAAACCCTGGACAGCTTTTCCCCTTGGTAAGGCACAGGTACTGCACAGAGTGTGAGTGTAAACCGACTGTGTGCAAACTCCTTCTACCCAGCGCTGTCAGCACCTCGCAGCACCTGGGCTCGCTGGGTCCCATTTCAATGGCCCGTGCACCCCACAGCTGCCCTTGGGCACCCACGCCACTGAGTGGAACACTACGCCGCCTATGGGCGCCACACCTTGCAGTGTGTAACCCCAGGGGGATGCCCAGCAGTCAGACGTGAGGGCAGACGTGTCACACGCGTGTCGGCTGCACTCATGTAGGCTGAGCACAGGGCAGCGGGGGGCACGCCGGGCGGAGCCCCGCACCCCGCCATGGCACGTTCGTCCGGCAGGGGGCAGCAGCGCCCCAGCCAGGTGAGCGGAGCTGGGAACGGGCTGGGACTGCGCTGGGACTGAGCAGCACGGGCAGTAGCTGTTACGGACACACACTCAGGCAGATCACACCTACCGATAGCTCCAGGGTCAGGGTACACTCACACTAGGGCTGAAACACCTGTTTCATATCCGTTGTCCGGGCTAGACTTTCCTACTGGCCCTTTACTGTTTACTACTGACCCATAACCTGCACTTCAACTCAACACAATTATTATTTTCTGTAGAAAACCTCAAAACTTAAACTTTGTTGATGTCCTGTCTGAGAATCAAGACAGAAATGGTTTAATTCTTCCATTGTACAAAAAGGGAAGAATGACTGAACTGAGGAAGTGCGGAACTACTGAAACCTTTGGTAGCAGGTCACTGTTGGACAAATGGAGAAGGCACACAGCACTACTTAATCAGAGGCTTCAGGATCCTGTGTGGGCTTGGATCTGCAAGTGAAATAAATCATAGCATGTGTCTCAGACTGGATAGCCAGGTGGTGTCCCTCTACAACAGAAAGGAGTGGGCAGGCATTGCTCCTGCTGCTGTTCCTAGGAGTTCATACTGCCCCTCTAATGCAGTACTCAGCCTCATTGGCACAACTGACAATTAACCAAATGTTAGCAAGTCATTCATTAGTCTGAACCCTGTAAAAGTACCCAACAGCACTACATCACTCAGAGTGACTGTGCTCATCCTTGGAAGGACCACAAGAGCCTCACTTCCCTGTTGGCATCTACTGTCAGCAGCTACTCTTGCCATCTAGGTGTCTGTCCTGCCTCACACTTAATGTTCATATAGAGCTTAAGCAAGGAGCTAAGCCTGTAACACTGAATTACAAAGTTGGGAGGGGTGTAATAAAAATGGGGTTTTATTCAAACCAATGTAGTGTTAAAATGGATTTGGGAAACATAGATTCAGGTCAGTTAGAAATCAATAATCAAACCTGACTATTATAAATTCACAAATACATTTCTGCATTTTTTCCTTACAAAGTTCTTTGCAAACTGCAGTTGAAATACCTAAGAACTTCTAAAATGCTGGGATACAAATGAAATGTGGAAACTGCAGGCCTTTGAGTTATTCAGGCCAAGTGAGCTGGTTCAGGCAACAGACTGTGAAGGACAGACTTGTACTGAGCATATTCTCTCCATTTTCAACAGACTACTGGGGTAGGCTCAGCTTTGGCGGTACTGTGTGACCTGAATTTCACAGTCTGCCTAGAAGCACAAATCAGGCTGGGAAAAAAATAGATGCAAGAATGCAGGAGGTCCTTGTTTTCCACTTCTTCCCTGTTTTCCATTTTAACTGTGTATATGAGAGAGAATGAGAGAATAAGACTGGCTGAGGAACTGCATTATGCACTGTGTGCCCTGAAGTACAGAATATCAGGGAACTGAGGGATAGCCTGAGGTGAAAAACTGATGCTGGACTTAATGATTAATCCAGGTCATTGACTTGAGATCTGGCTGACAACATCTGAATTTGGGATATTTAAATCCAGGATTAAAATAAAATTCTACAAATTTTAAAATATGTCCATCCCACTTTGGTCAGTTTACAGCATCTAGGTATGCACCATGTTTTAGAGCCCTTAACTATCTTCCATTCAGACTGCTGCAAAAAGGCTGTGCAATATTATGTAGTTCAATCCCAGTGCATTAACTTAAAATTACCTTTGACATACTTCAATTAACTAACCAGTGTGGAGTTAAGCTTGGAGTAAAATCACATCATAAGAACAAAGTGTGGGAACGTGTTAGGCTAAGCTCAGTTCTTGACTTGCAGGCAAGTAATAAACTAGAAATTCATTTGCAATTGTTTTAAAGCATATCTTAAAATTTTTCCTCTGAGTTTAGTAGAGGTACTTCACAACCATAGGAAGACTGTTGGCTTTTAATGCAGTTAAGAGAACAAATTCTTATTGTGGCCTATGTCTTGAAGATTTCCAGCTATGATCTAAGAACGCACCTTTGCTTTCAGATGAAGAGGACTAAGAGAGTACGGGGCAAAGTGCCTTTTAAAATTTTAGTTATACTTTGTATAAAGCTTTTTACTGCAATACCATTACAGACTTAGGTGTTTACACTTCTAAGGCAAATACAAATATTTCTTCCTCTCCATGTGTGTAAATGAGATAAAACCATTGAAGCTGGTGGGAGGCATCAGCACTTAAAAGTTTTCATGAGAATACAGTTATATTAGATCTTACAGGAACCTATAGCACATATTGTTGGTTTCTCTATAACTACATCTGAACAAGATGGGATTTGTGTCACCAAAATAGCATAAAAAGAAGAAACCACAGCCCTGAGAAACTTAAGAAGCCCCACAAAAAATCCCCACCCTTGCCTGGCAATTTCTGAATGACCAAGGCTTCTGTGTAACAAACATGCAACCAACCTTGTCTATCAGAAAGATTCAGAAATTATTTAAGATTAGCACATCTAACTCTGGGTAAGCAAGCGACACAGCACTATTCTGTTTTGCAACTCTATCTTTAAAACTGTCTGACTGCTCAGGTTTCTTCCCATCCCTAAGCTGCATGTTTTACAATGGGAGAAGGAGAGAAAGGGTAAAAAAAGGGCACAGCAAGGGCTGACTACTCAATAAAGTATGGAGAGCCAGGAGCCAAACACCTGGCACAGCTGGCAAGGCAGCAGCCTCCAAAAGCCAGGCCTCCCCTAGCACCTGAGCAGGATCAACAGGAGAGGCCCAGAGGCTGTGGCCAGGTCTACCAAGCCTAGATCACCTGTCTTGCCTCTACAGACCTGCCTGGCAATCACATGTAACCCTGGTTACTGTCACTAGAACTGATCCTCACCCACGGACTGACGTCGTGGCTGGACCTCGTCACCACAAACTGCCCTGAGGCTCTGGTTGACTCTGGCTGCCATTGTCAGTGCTGCCCTGTGCCCTGCGCACAGCTGTGCCCTCGGGTGCCGCACTGGGAGGCCCCTGCCCCACCTGCCTTGTGGCGGCTCACATCCTGGTCCTCCATCCCTCAGTGAGCCCCTGGACTCACTGCTCTCTGGCAGGTTTACTCTGAGCCTCTGCATAAGAAGAGGAATGTGGATATCTTTCTGTATTTCTGCCCAAAGGCAGGCTCATGGCAATCATCCTATGGGCATTAGGTCTGACTATTGTGACATGGCAGGGGAAATCTCCCAGCCTCAGTGTGAGGGAAAGCGTGGAGTTCACATGGACATTGATTACAAACACTCTCATCTGAGGCCTCATCCATATCCTCCTGGCTGAGTCCTACATGAGTGGGAAGGGGCTGATAGCATTCTCACCACTGCAGCAGGTTATTGCACTGGGATCTGGAAGAACAGCAGGTGACAGAGAGGTCCCGAGGAATGATACGAAAACACTGCAGGACACCATCAAAGACATTATTGATCCAGTCACTGGAATTAGATGTCTCAGAATTATTAAGATTAACTGCAGGGTTTACTTAAGAACAAAGGATCAATACTTAGCTTGGGAGGAATGATTTGGTGGAATGATAATAAGTTTCTCTGTGACATTGAATGATAAACTCCCAGTTCTCATACACTGGGAGAGAAAAACATGTTTTCCTCTAAGTAAAAACTGCCAGGTTTGCCATCTTTCTAAGGATGCATACAGAAAATGAAGGCTGTGAGGGAGACAAAAGGGATTCAAGTGTTGCAGACATCTTTTTGTGAAATCTTTTCTTAGGATTTTTTCTCTTCTCAGAAGCTGAGGCCTCAGAAACAAAATGTAAACAATGGTTATCTGCTGCTGTGGAATGCAACAGGTCCATCTGTGACTGGCCCATCTTGGATGTTTATAATTCATGGCCAATCAAGGCCAAGCTATCTCGGACAGAGTCCAAGAGAGCTGCCTTTTGTTATCATTCTTTTCTATTCTATTCTTAGCTAGCCTTCTGAGAGACAAAACCTTTCCTTCTATTTCTTTTTAGAATAGTTATAATGTAATATATATATCATAAAATAATAAATCAAGCCTTCTGAACATGGAGTCAACATTCTCGTCTCTTGCCTCATCCAAGAACCCCTGTGAGCACTGTCACATTCAAGCAGTGGCCAGTGCACTCAGCTGCATTTCTCAGACTCAGTGCTTTCAGGCTTCACAAGGGGAATACAAAGCCCATGTATACTCCCTAGCTCAAATTACTGGTAGGAACCTTTGTGAGAATAAAACTGGAGGTTCTTACAAGAAGGACGCCAGCATACAAGAGAGAACTTTAGGAAAAATGCTGGAAGGAAGGACAGCAATAATGATGAGGCTGAAAATTTTAAAAACTAAACTCCAAAGGGTCTGAAGACCATAGCAGTAATCCAACTAGAAAGTGCTGAATGATGGTAGTGAACTACCTTGATATGGTTCTGCATTTGAAAAAACAATTTCTTTTGTTGCAGTTTACAACTATTAAAAAAGTAACTAGAGAGACAATTTGTAAGAGCAATCAGAATCCAACCCTGCCCTTACTCATCAGCTTGTACTTCTCATGAACACTCACAGGAGACACAAAAATGTTTTAAGTGTTTTAGTTAGTTACATCATTTCACCAGCTTTCTTCAAGCCCTTCCACTTCAAAAAAAACCCCCAAAAAACCAACAACAAACAAACAAAACCCCCAAACAAACAGACAAACAAACAAAAACAACAAATAAAAAAGTAAATATGCCTTGAGCTTCATGATGCTGCAGCTTTGCTGAGCAAACATATGATTTTCTGTAATGAACTGAATATATACCTACTTGGAGTACAAGATTAAAGCAATCATTTACTCTAAGTGCTATGTAATGCAGACATAGTTTAAGATGCTTTATGACATCAAAGGAGAAAGAAATACTGAACACAGAACGTGAATTATCTGTATAGCCCAAACTATACAGACATTTGACTTATTGCTTTGTTTTACAAAAATCACAAAAATTTGTCATGCTTTTCCTCTCACTGACTTGGTCAGATGTTAAAAATGTAACATAAAAGATTTGTCTGTTCTCATAAACATGACTTGCCAACAAAGAAGTTTGTTCTGCATGAGGTACTACTGGATCAATAAGCAAAAGGCCGAGAGGAAATGTAACCTACCAAAGAATAGACACATTTTGCTGGAACGATGTGTTGTCATTAGGTATAATTGGGCAAATGGCGGTGTGATCTCCAAAGCCTCAGCTGATCATATTCCCCTGAGTACATTAATAATTTTAGGGAAAAGTGCATTAACTATGCCTTGCTTTATTGTACTGCTGAAGTGGAGAACAGGTGTGAGAAAACAAACAAGTTTGTAATCTTTGCTTCCTTTCCAAATGAATTCTTAATCACTTTGGCTCTTATTTACATACAAGATTTAACTTTCTGATAATTATGAGAGCAACTTGGCAGCTTCCCTTTTGTGGCTCAGGTAAGCAGATTCAAGAGGCTTTTAATTCCTAGTACTAATACATATAGCTTATTCAGGTCTTTCTAAAAAGGCAGATAACATCATGCCCGCCCTTGACAAAATAAGCAAAGATCAACAAGACAATTGTTGCCATTCTAGATTTACTTGCACTGCAAAGCAGGTCTTATTGCATCAGGATGAAAGCAGAATATCATTTCGGCCTTTGTCATGGGAATGTCTAGCTCTGTGCCAAATTTTGACCCTTCTTGATACATCTGATCAGTATGCTGAATTAAATCAACTGGGGCTGAGCAGTCCCTACAATTTATGCAAGCATGAATTTGGAGCAGTGTGGATAGGAAGAAAGAGGAATGAGAGTGTCTTTTCAGTGCTTGCGTGCAATTAGATCTGATAATGGTTTACAGTGACACAGATGACACTGGTCTAACACCAGCTGCCCCAATTCTACTCTCAGTACCTACATCTGGGTGACTGTGCTCCAACTCTTGCACCACCAATTCATTCTAAAACTAGTGAGTTCTTTGAATGAAGAAAAATATCAGAAAATTATCACCAACTGCTGCTTAATTTCAGGGTCACCAAGTGAGTATTTTAGTTTTCTCCCCAGTCTTTCTGCTCCCCTAAAGGCAGTTCTTCCCTGTGACAGATGCCTAAAGGAAAAATGCTCCCCTGCTGAAGACCCCTGGTGGAAGCATACATGTCACCTGGCCAAACAACTCAAACTTCTTTCTTTGCTCTTCAGTGGCTCAATTAGGAAGTCAGAGTGTTCTTGTTTCCAAGTCTTATATGAGATGTGAGACTTAATTTAAAGACATCTTGTTCAGTCAGAAGCACCTAAATGGTCATTGATTGTTTTTCCATAGATGGATATGGAAAAACAAGTCTTAAGTCTCTTTAAAAACACAAACTGTTTGTTATTTGTGTTCTGTTTCCATTGCTAGACAGACTACAGGGTTTGTGTTAATATTACTGAAATAAGACAAATACAAGTTTGAACAAGCCAAGCCTAAACTCTTACACTCCTGAGTACCAGGAGAATTGCCATGTGATCGAGACAAAATTGTTCAGGCGCAGTCACGTTAATTAGAAATATCTGCAAGGATCCTGGAGAGAGAACATCTGGTTGGAAAATTTCCATCATCATTTGGATGCTGAAAATTCAATAACACAAGGACAATATTACTTTATACCAGTTAAAGATAATAGGATGGCTATAGCTCCCCTTTGGTTCATTGGGCTCTGAACAGCACAGCAGCACCTGTGCAGTGTTCAGGAAACTTCTGTCTGACCATCCAGGAGCCACTCTGGCATTCACACTTGCATCACCTGAGCTGGGACTGAGGCCCCTTTGCAGTTTCTACCCCCACTCTCACAATCAGACCAGGTTTACTTACCTGGCTCGGACATTAATATATTTCCTGAAGTAGATAAACATTAAATAAGCAAAGACCTTTTAGCAACCTCTGGCAATATCAAGTCAGATAACACAATATCATTCATTTAACTTAATCTTTTCACTTGGGTTCCTAGGAGATAGCAGCTAAATTCTGCTACAATCACAAACTTACTCTACACCTATACAATTTCAATGGTTGCAGTTGATTCACATGCTATAGTAGGGCTCTGCTTCTGCTCTCACAGCCAGAAAAAGAGGACAGTACCTGGTACCTAGAAGCTGCCACTGTTCCATATGTTGTCAGATCTTCAAAGGATCAAAGCGACCAAGACAACAACTACTTGAGCAAACCTGGCTACTTCCTTTGTGTTTAAATGGGAAAGAGAACCCTTTGAAAATGTCACCACTTAACTGTAAATTCACTGTCATTACATTGGTTTTAATTTTTTGTGTTGTCAATTTGTCAGGCAGCTGAGAACTCGAAGAACAGAAGTTAGTGCAGAAGAAAAAAGAAGTTCTGTTAGTTCTGTTAGTGTAGAGCTAACAGAAGTTAGTTCTGTGGATTACAAAACTTGTAGTCTGCAGAATTTGTAGTCTGCTAAATTTTTAATTAGGGAGGTCCAGACTATATCACCTTGGAGTCCATATTCTGAAGCAGAAGTCTAAATAAACCATGATCTACTTGTAATCAGAAACTGTTTTACCTCATAAGGTCCCCAAACTCTCTATTACTGTAGATCACTAACCCTGTAATTAAATAATCTGCAGCTACCTGAGGCTGAAAAGGACTTAATAACTTTGCAATTTAAGTTTGCTACAGAGTGAGCACATTGCACCTGTCTTGACTGGCAAAACTGGCTTCTTTATCCAAACAAAGGAAAGAACAAGCTAACTCAGAGCCCTTTTTACGTACAGTTTAGAGCTCCTCTGTAACCACTGCTATATTATGTCTGGCTGGGACAGAGTTAATGCCAGTGCCAGGCAGCCTCTGCATGTCTTGATAAGCTATTTCAAATGTCAAAATATTGGGTCATATTTTTGAATAAAAGCTATAAAATAGAATGTTATGAAAGTTTTAACTTTGTATTTTCCATGATGATCTCTGAATCACTCATGGAAATGCAGGTGTGAAAGCAACTCCCAAGAGGTTTTTTTTTTTTTACTTTTTCTAGTTGCTTTACTTTTGTTACAGTTTCTAGATGTGTAACATTTGCTAGGATACCTATAGATCATCACAGAGGAAATTTAACAAAAGGATTGCTTTTATGAATGTCCTTTTTTCATCCTTTGGATGTAATTCCAAACCCTGCATTCTCTTGTACCACATTCAAGGAAGACTATCACCAGCCATTCCAGGAGTGCATTATAGAATTCCATCACACCATTTAGGTGTCAACATAGAACATTTCAAATCTGATAGCAGCTTCAACAAGGAAAGAAAGAAATTTGGAGGAGAAAACTGTTTATTAAAGGCATCAGCAGTTTGTAGAAAGAATCCTGTGAAATTGCTGATATTTAATATATGTATGATATAAAATTGTGTTTTTGTCACAATTGACCACACCAAAGCTTCACCAGAGTCAGATTAAACACGAGTTTTGTATTCACCATTTTCTTTACTAAGATTTGCATGCCATGCCCACCAGGCTTGGTGAAGTCTACTTGCTCCCTAGGAAAAACCCCAACAAACTATAAATAACAATTTTTACTTCTCTTGTCATAATTTGTGACTGTTAAAGCATATCACAAGCATCAAAACTCTCTGTATCATATCACTATAGCTTATTTGTGGACAGGGAACACAAAACTCGGATATTTAAGGGCCTACTTAATTCCAGTTCCCATCTACGAAAAGTCTGAGTATGGTTTTAACTATAGTTGGATTTTTGCCTCAATGAGTCACTGAAAATCACAGAGCAATTCAATGTAAGAGACAGAAACAAAATCAGCTCAGTTCTCAGGCTCCATTCTAATCAAATAACCATGTGGTCTCCCAGCTTGGTGCTTATAAAAATACAAGATATATGCTGTAGTTTGCATCTGCAAACCATTCTCCAGCTACTTTTAAATGTATCTTTGTTCATGCTCAGGCTTTGCTGAAAACACCCAGGGGAAGAGTATGACACAAAACCTGAGAGGCATACAGACTTTGTGCCTCACAGTCTTCTCAGCAGAAGCAGGTGTTAAATGACTCAAGGAACTTCTACTCCAGTGCTACATGTTCATTCACTCAGCTTCCCTTGAGATGCACAGAGTCTGCCAGCTGGACTGATGAGAAGAGAAATCCACGAGAACATCACAGAAGCTATTTCTAAAAATCAATGCTACTCCTGGTCTCAGCAGATACCTCACTGACCTCATGTGTGTCTTTATTGCCCCATAAAGAACAATGACTAGTATTTGTTCAATAATTACAATTCCTGTCCCCAAAATGGCATCTGAACACCTATTGATTCTCACTTTATGCTGTTTGCTTGTAAACAAACCCATTAAGCACCCATGGAAGAGTCTATCGTTATTACAATGACTATGAAAGTTATAAAGGTGCAAATTAGATAAAGGTCATTGTTGTTATGTAGCTCATAGTACAATATGAAAATGGTCTTGAGCAACTGGTTGTGGAGACCTTCCTCCCCCTCCAAGTCTCTTAGCTGCACAGCAAGCTCCATCTAAATGACTGCGCACAATGAGCAAGGGAGCAGTTCTGTACTGAGTACTCCGTAAAGTTCCCTCGTATTAACCAGTTAGTTCACACAATCCACCAAGGAAAGAACTCCCAACCTACTGTGCTCTACAGAAGGCACACATCTGATATGGTAGCATATCAGATCTCTGGTGGCTTCTGTGGTTAGTCAAGTACAGGCAGTAGCACTTCCCAGTTGACTTCCAGCCACACCTCTAGTGCCATAAATCCATATATTTGCTACAGTGAAGGCTTGGATTCTAAGTAAGAGCTTCCAGTTTCATTGGTATCATTAGTAATGGTTGCAAGTGACAGGAATAAAAATTCCTGTAGCCACGTGCCCTGCAGACACAGTGAGACTGATGGACAATACTAGAAACAGTAAACTATATCATTAATATTTGCTAAGACCCTCCTATAAATGGCCTGTGCTGGAATCAGACAGCAAAACCTGCACGTCTTTAACCTTCTGGTAATGGCAAGTGACCGGTTTTCTTATAAGCCTTTTCTTACAAAAGGGAGGAAATTCATGCCAGGATAAAATGACTGTCTTCTTTCTTTCACATCCTTTTTCAACACTGTAGCAAAGCTCACAAATCAACTCTAACCTGGTCCTGATTAGCTTGATGCTGATTTACAGCTACCCAAACTCTTGAAATATCATATTTATGGCCAACGCAACTGACATGATTACCCCACCTTCTTGCTTCATCATTTCATACACCTCCAGGTGCACGTGTAGATGTTTGATAGGTCTACGTGCACATGGAGATGTATGCATATACACCTAGATTTAATTCTAACTCTCTTGGGAAGACAGTTTCAGATTTTACTTCACCATAGTACTTCTGAAAACAGGATTCTGATCTTCACTGTTGCTGTGCTACAGGACTCCTAAAATGAGTAGCTGAAAAGATAAAATGTCTACTCTTACTGCAGGAACATGGTCAGCAAATTTAAGCCCTCACAAAATGAGTAGACCAAATAACTTAGTAACTATTAAGAAAGACAAAGGTACTAGACAAAATAGACACGAACAGTTCATAAGTAAAATCCAGCATTACACACATTCATCATCACAGGCAGACAGGAACACCTGAGGAGAAGGAGCAATACCTGAACTGTTACCTAATTCAACCAGATCAGCTGGCATGACTGCTACCAGAAGTTAACTTTGTTAGTTAAACCAGATTCCTGTTCAAAATTCCTCTCTACGTCTGATTCCAGGATGCTCCTCCAGTAGAAGAGCGGTTCTTAGGTGTTGTGTATAGATAGGCACAAACACATCTGCCTTGCTGAGGTGGTCCTGCCACGGGCCCATTTTCCTTTCTTAGCACATCAACATATACAAGTTAAGGGTAAATCACATTTGTGCTGCATCCTTAAAGCCAGGCTTGAGGTCACTTTACAGAATAATTTTAAATGAACTTTGAACATTGTCTTTTACAACAGCCAAATGCAACAATAAGATATACACGTCTTTAATTTTAAAAGCTGCTATAGAAATATTTAAATTTTGAGAGGATGATGTTCTACAGTGAGGCACAAGGAACATGTCTGGAACTTTTCATTCTGCTTTTACATCCTATTCTTACTTGTGCTCTCCGATTCCCAATCACTGGGGATGCACCATTTGTGTCAAGCCTTCAGGAGCTTTGGAGCCTTGTACCTGACAACTGTACCAGCCAGGACTGGCAGGCAGACTATCCAAATATGCTCTCTGCTGATTGCTTCTGGTGAACTGGACAGGAGTACTGGCTGCAAGCTGAGGATTGTGGACTCAAAATTGAGGATTTGGATTCAAAATCCAAATCAGCACTTTCAAACACTTGGTGCCAAACACTAAATCTCTTAGCAACTCTACCTCACAAATTTCCATCTCTTCACACCAAATTATGGCTTCTCTGTCATAATTAGTATGTCTTAGCAGTGAGTGTAAGGGACAGGCACAGAGCAAGCACATCACCATGTCACTTCTTTAATTTCCATGGAAGTAGTGATCTTCTATCTACAACCATCCAACTGACTTTGCAATTTACCTCACAGTGTGAATCAGAGTTGCTTCTGAAAAGTAAGCTGAATGTTTTCTACCATTCTAAATCAAATTTCCCCAAATCTATTCTTGCTATATGATGAAACTTGCCCCAGTTCAAACATAGTATTTTGGCAAGGTAAACTGAGCTGTAAATTTGCTTCATCTGATGACTGTTGGAAGTAAACAAGATCTTGAGTCTTGTCATCAGTAGCTGCGAAAAAACAACAGGGTGGGCAGCTGGAAGGTTTTTTTGGTGCTTGGAGGCATAGAGCCATGTCTGTTTCAGTAAGTGACATTTGTTTTGAAAGATCCTGGACTGTGCCTGAAACAAGAATCAGGGCACAGAAATATTCTTTCTGATGATGGCAATTTTCTTCCCAAATCACAGGGTTCACTTGACTAGAAAACTATAGAAATGATTCTGCATAAACATTGTTGAGATAATTACAAAATAAAGAATCACTACAATGAATCTATTGAGATCTTTAATTCCAAACTGCCACCCTCCCAGAAAGAATAAACTGTGAGTTAGTCTGACTCTTAAATATACAATTAAGCCTGTCAAGTTTTGGCTGCCTAATATGCTGTTTAATATTGAAAAATCTGTCATTTAACCAATATGTGGCATTAATGTCATAATGCTTTGGGTTTGCTTCCTCATGAACAATACAACTATTTAGCCGAGACAAGCAACATGTTATTTATACACCTTTTGGCAACAGTTTTAATGATATGTGGGATACTGCCCTTTCCTTCTAATATAATAGTTCCCTTTTTGGATTGAAATTGATGAGGAGAGCTGTGTATGTGTTCCATGAGGAATTTACTCAGTAATTCTATTAAGGGCTTCCTCACAAAGAAATAAATGTTCTCAATCTCCTTCAATACTCATCCTACTCATTATTTAAAACAGAAGGCCTAATCTCTCCATATATTAAGTTTCCTCAAAGGGTTTTCTATTAGTTTCAATGAATTCAAAAAATTAGGCTTCAACACTTTTATGTTTGCAAAACTATGAAAATCTGGGCCTTACAGTCAGAGCAAAAGGTTTTGCCATTTCTGGAATTTTTGACAAGGAGGTGTCAATTGAAGGTTACACAGCCTTCAAAAGGAATCCTTTACACATCCTTACCATGTTCAGGTCATGCTTCAAGTGCCATTCAACATCAGCCAGTAGAGCTTCTAATAATTTCACCAGATTCTCCAGCCCAATTCCTTCACCTGGGTGTAACTAAAGCTCACCCCCAAAAGGCCGCAGAGCTTACATCACAAACAAGTGTTTACCACTACAGACTCTTGCACTAGGCAACAAGAGAAGTACTGTGGTGGGGGCTCAGTGCTGGAAGAAAGAGAACATGATAGACGAGTTACCTTCATTTCCCTTCCTAGATTTTATATTCACAGCTAATGAAAACAAATAGGAAAGCTGTCCTTATTATTCCTCAAGGGTTTTGGTTTTGTGATGACTTGCAGCAAAACCAGCTGGGCTATGATAAACTGATCTGCTGTCCATCTGAAGCCCCCTGGCTGGGTACGTTTACACAAAGGGATCTTTTTTTTTTTGCTAATACTGGTGGTGACCACAGTAGGCTGCATTTCAAAAACCTCCTTCATGTGTCATTACATCCACTCAGAACTGTCTAGGTCCATTTACTTAGCAAATGAATTTTGGGGACTATCTATTCTATTCTATTCTAGCAGATAGAAGTTGGTTAAAACTCTGCCACCATTAATTATTAATATTTAATACAAGGTTTGTAGATTAGGTATAATATCTTCTATTGTAGTGACATCTATTGCCACGAAAAGCTGACAGTTCTGGGAGATCACAAGTCCTTTTTTAATTCTAAGAGGAGAGGCAAACTTTCAGACATGAATGCATTTCCTTGGGCCTAAGAAAGGTTTGTACTCCTGAAGGCTTGCCTCCCACCTAAAACTATATTATGGGTCTAATATACCATCTAAAGATCATTGTGGCTGTACATACTCTGGCACTCCGATGTCATTAAAATCAAAATGAAGAAAAGCTGGAATTATACCTCTCACAAAAATACAATACATCCTCCTCCAGGGCAAACTATTTACCTGTTCTTATGCAGGAAGGATCATGTTAAGATATCACATGGAAAGAGAGAATTGTCCACCTATTACTGATATCCATCTCCCTAATTTTCTGCCTGAGTAGTTCAATCAAGGAACAAACAGGGAGGAGTGATATAAAGAAACTGTGCTTTTACATTTTCCAGAGAAAACAAAATATCTGATTTGACTCTCATTTCTGTTAGCAAACAAGTCATTCCTAATTCACAGCACTGTTAACAAGAGGAAGTTCAGACAGAACAGCTTAGATTTGCAGTCATTGCAAGAAATACAATTCAGGAAATATCCAAGAGGTTAAAGTTATTTAAAGAGATGAGAAGATCAAAATTGCAGTCCTACTGACAGTGTACAGTTAATAAAAATTAAGGGGATGCCTTAAGTAGTCAGTGAAGGTATTTCCCTCATTCTTGCACACAGAAGTAAAGCCATGTAGGTAACCTTTTAAATGAGAAAGATGTGTGTCTTGTGAGGTTCTACCAGAAACCAAACCTATTTTCTATAAAGGAAGGCTAACTTTAGACCAGAACAGATTCTGGTCTCACTTCCTAATTCTAAAACTACGGATCTGTGACAAAGGGCAAACTACTTAAAATTCAGCGTCTCCTAGTGAAA